AGTGAAACTGATCTCCCCTAATTTTTGTTTCTTCTTTTAAGTATCAGTTACCGCAATGTGCAGAGAATCTTTTCTGTTTATGGGATTTATATGCTTGAATACTGAAAATATATATTGGAATATGTAAATTGCTCATGTGGAAAGTTACATATTGAAGTCCAGTTGAAAACATAAAGCCACTTTTTGTGCTCTGAAGTGTTCATTTTCAGGTGTAAATGGATTCTCCCATATGCCCTATACTTTTCGAAATTATTTGAATAAAACCCTTTGGAAAAGCAAACAGAATGAAGTAAGGTAGACAGAGTACAATACAGATACAAAAATACAGAGATATCTTATCAGTCATTGTGACTGTCTCTTCATCAAAAGAAACAGTGGACCAATAGAAAGATTTCTATATAATGGGCATAGCCTAATTAAAAAAAAAAAAAAAAACAAACAAAAAAAAAAAACCACCATAAATATCTGCTTAACGTTTTCATATTAACCTCCTCACATTCCTTTTTCTCAATACTGTTATACAGCTACTAAGTGATACTTTCCTTGCATGATGCTGATGAGGAAAGGGCTATGTCTTAAGAAACTAAACTCCTCTCCACTGATGATATCAAAATACACATTTTTATAAGTAGATTTGTTTTTAACTAGGGCATTAGTAAGCCTTCCTTAGTTTTACTTCTTGGTCCTAGAAGGTCGATAACTGGCCTACTTATGCCATCTTCTGGATAATTACAGAACTGTCTTTACACAGGATATCCTCTATCATGAAGCATTAATAATCAGTGCCTTGAAATAATTTACTAATTGAATCCCTGAAGTCATTTTCTTTCTTATTTTATAGAACTTAGAAGAAACCAAAAACTACTGAATTGTTAATAACATCATATTCAGCTATTATGAATAATCAGTAGATTGTACAAAAAAGATCTCTGTAAGTGTGGTCCAAACAATATTGATATATTTAGTATAGTTATGTTTTATGAAAAGATACTTTTTTATACTGATATTTTGCTAATGAGAGTCCCATTTTTTCAAAGACTGGGTTTTCATCTCTTGGGGATAATCAGAACGAAGGAATTGCATAATATGTCACATTGCATAATATGTTACTCGAGGTAACTGTGCTGTGTGACACTCCATTATTATTCTGATACAAGTGGTAGAAGAATGTGCAAAGAGCAGATGATGTTGTATGAGCTTCTGGAAATGTTAGCTTTACTATTCTATTTATGCATTTAATCACTCTTTCCAAATCTCACATTGAGTAATTACATCTGTCTAGAGCACATGGAAAAAGGCTGAATGGCCACCACTGTCTTCTGTAGCCTCAGTTTGCTTCATTTTCCATAGTATAGAATGGTTATCTTGCAAACTTGGGTTTACTGCAGCATCCTCAGCAGGAGAGAGGTGCACAGGCAGAGCAGAAGAGATTTAGAAATCTATCCTTCAAAGTAAAAAATACTTTGTGAGTTTGAGTTTCAGTTTACACCTCCTCAGGTAACTGGAAATAGTAGACTCCCACCACAAGTGTTAAGCAAAACAAAGTGGGCATCATTCAATATTCAGGTTTGTCAAGTGCCTTCTTTTTCTTGATAAATGTACCAGGCCCTAAGAAATGTATATTCAGGATAGAATTCATTATAGTAGACATTGTGAATTATGTTATTTTGCACATCAAGAAAGTCTCCTGGTCAGATCCAGGTCAACATGCCATGTGTCACTAGCAGGATTAACACAAGAGAGATGTTTCCATTTCGAAGACTTCTCATCACTTTCGAAAATTGTGAAATAATGGGAGTGTGAAGAGCAGAAATGGCACAAGGAACTGATGGTACAGCATCTGCTTGCCTGTTCTCTGCATGTGTCTTCCCTCACTTTTCCCCAATCACCAGCTTTCCCATCTAAGTGCAATTACAGGCTAAAATGGAAAGCCATGTTGGAATGGCATAATGCTCTCATTCTCAGTCTTCAGAATCAGCACATGTTAAGAAAGAAAAAGCCCATTTTCACTTCCTTTGGAGGTGGTAGTGGCTTTTGAACTGAGTTGAGAAACTTTGCCACTACTACAAATGCTGCAATGTCTGTTCCCTTCTTGCTCTCAGAAAACCTTGAGAAAAGTCCCCAGGTTGGTTTATGGGTTTTTTAAAAACACCAATCCAACACTCTTTTACTAAGTGTTTAATTATTAGGATTGTAAAATACAACAACACCCAAGGCATTCATGGAAGGAACTAATTATAGCCCACTCAGCATGTGGTTTACCCTTCACTTACAAAATCTCTTGTCATTTATTTGTCCTTTAGATGACTTCTTGTAATACCTTAATCAGAACAAATGGATCCTTCAGAAGGGAGAAAATTACCCCAAACTGGCACAGAAAGATTTGATTAAAACTTATATTCCTTCTGTGGCAGCCTAAAGGTCCCAGGGGATCTGCCATTTCTCAGCAAAGTAGAGGAAATAGCAGACAGGGGAAATGCTTTCTGTCTGAGACAAAAAGATTTTATTGCTAACATGATGACATCCACTCTCCGTAGGACCATCTTATGATCAGTCTCTCTTGTTTCCTTTAAATCTCAGTGTCAGAAGTTTGGTTCCAGTGTGATTAATTTCCCCTTTACTGATTGTGTGTCATTTACTTTTACGTAAGATTTTTATAAATGAGGCAAAACAAAGACAGAGATGAAGACTGTGCAGAGATAAACATTTGTGCTGCTGGGACTCCCACTGACTTTGGCACAGCAGGGGCCAGAAGTAATGGGGATTCACAGGCATCGTGATTAGACCTCTCACTGTGAACAGGTAATTGAAACACTATAGCCCATCACCAGCATTTACAAAACAGCAAGCCATGAAGGTACTTAGTTTAAAGCAGACCTTGAACAAACCAGAGGCTTCACACGCTCCGTCTGCCATTATGTACAAGCAAAGCATAAACTGAGGCCATCAATAATACTTGTGTTTGCATAGACAGCACTCCTCTGTCACCAGCCCTGCCGTTGTCCCCTAAGCAATGGCTATTTCTGTGTGGTTCTGCAGGTGATGCATGAGCTGTCTGCCTGGCTTTGGGGGGAAGGCACCAGGGACAAGAAATGGGGCCTTGGGAAGAAACATGGCAAGTTGCCTTGACTAAAGATCCTGTCCCTCAACCCAGGTTTGTGGCTCAGTGAGGCACTGGTGGAGAAGGCGTATGTGTCAGGCAGGACCTTGCACCAACCTTCATGTGAACATTTGAAAGCTCCCTCAGTGACTGGGAATCTGATGGTTCATCATCCACCCTCGGTGGAGACCAGGTAACAGCAGTTTTGAGGCCCAAAGCCTGATTGGGATATCATCATAATATTCAGTGTGTTGTGTGGCATAAGTAAACATGCTGCCTCCAGACACTGACCTCATTGTCTGTCTCCTGCTGTAGACCTCGGCCGCACATGGTTAAGAGCCATTTACTGACTAGCTTCCTGCAATAGTGTCTTTAAAAGTGTAATTGATTCAAATACATGATGTAGGTGAGAAATGCTCTGACTTATGTCTCGTTTTCACTATTTAGTAAACTTTGTGTCTCATGAAAACCTCTAAATAAACATTCTTGATTATAGTAATTTCATAGTGGAGGTATACCTCATCAGTCTGGGCCTCCCTTCTACCAAACTCCACTAAAAAGTTACTGGTGTCTCAAGCAGGTGTTTCTAGTTTTTAAGACAATGTGATATTCATAACCTAATTTAGGTTTCCTTCACTCTCATTTGAGAAGAAATGTCAGCTTCAAACCTTATGCACAGGTGGAGAAAGAAATAATTGTCATATGGAGCTGAGACACAGACCTACAATGCTAGACTTTCTGGATCCTCTGTTGAGTTTTGCTGTCGTCCCCCACTTGATGCATGGCAGATTACCTGTCCATGTTTTGTCAGCAGGGATCGTAATAGCTTTAAGCAGTTTGAGTAGTTATTTAGGTATTTGTAGCAGGCTTTGTCACTCCTACATAAAAGCAGTCATTCCCATTAAAAGGCACATAGTGACGTTTAAAATATTAGAACAATCATTCAAATGCACTGAACTCCTCATTATGCACTTACATGGTATATATAGCTACCATAGTTGGACTAAAAGATCAATGAACAATGTGATCATTAACAGGAGTTCAAGTGTCACATCACTAAATTTGTGACTGCAAATTCTTGGTGAGAAAAAGGGGGAATATTTTTTGTTCAGGTAATTGCATAAATGACAGGGTTTAACAGGAATTATGAATATAATGATACTTCAATGATTACAGTGCCAAAAGGGGATTCTGAAAATCTAGATCCATTCTGTCTCTTTTTGATTATGGGAGCACAATTTATGTGCCTCAGTCCCTTATCTGCAAAGTGAAGGTTTTAATTATTTGTTACTTCCATCACTGTTTGCTCCAAAACTGTATATACTAAAAATTCTGTACTGTTCTGATATGACAATAGCAGAGCGCCTATTCCTCAGGTGTGGTCAAAAGGAACAGTGTAAAAAGCTGCTGCAAAGGTGAAAGGCAAGATACACACAGAGCGCAACTGGGGAATGCCATTTCTTTGTTTGCTGCAAGCTCTCTGTGTGGATGTGGTCACCTAAGGAACTCTTTCAGCCTAAATTTCTGCTCTTTAAAGTGTAAACACTACATACATCTTTACCTCACAGTGATGCAGGGAAGCTGTATTAGCTTAGTGTGTATAAGTCTTCTAAATTCTTGAAGATACTGAAATAATGAATGTTTCTACCTGAATGGGCACGTTGTATCTGATTATGAGAACCTCCTGTGAACTTTGCTGTACAATAGCTTTTCATTAAAATGGGGTTGTTTTTTGCCATGCAAGAGAGAGGCAACTTTTTCTGGCATTAGCAACTGTGGGTCTGATTGCATCTAATGTTTTGGTGTTTGTAAGCATGGTATGCTATAGACTCAACACAAGTTTACACAAACAATAAACACACGGAATACTTTCATTATTGTTTTTAATCTTGCAAAATTGACGGAAGAAATAGTAAAACACAGCACAATTCTAATCTTACCAACATGGTTATAGTGTGCAATAAAAAAGTAATCTTGGTTATTAGCAGTGCTGCTAGATCACTGTCCTGACTTGAAGTCTTCCATCTAGAATTATAAATTAAGGACAGTTTATCAGAGTGGTGATTTATTGTGTAAACAGATCTTATTGCTGGCCTTTAGGAAAATTTAGCTGCCTGCCATTCAGACAAATTCTTTAATCACACTTGACTGAAGTTTCCAGCCTTGAATTATTAGTTAATAACATCTGAGCAAAAGTATAATTTATTGTTTAAGTAAACTTTGAAACAGAAGAACAGTGCCTCAGATACCAGACTTAGTGCTTGCCTTAAGGAAAGCATTTTTCTTTTAGCACAGAATTGTGATAGAACAGAAGTAAGATTTGTGATTAATTCCATCTCTCACTGCATATATAACCTACCTAATGGCAGAATACCATCTTCTGAGCTATTCTTTCCTCATTCGTGTATTTTAACACCAAAAGCCATCGTGCTATAAGTGAGCACAGGCCAACTCCGCACCTTCAGATACATAAAAACCACAAACTTTAAAAGTAACATATCCATGGTTTCTGTATAGGGAAATTTGATACCATCCTTTCTTTATCATTTCATCTTTTTCATCAATGGTGCCTGAGAAAGCATATTAATTTCATCACCACAGTCACTTGTAGCTAATTTAGAGCAGGTAGTCATTTGAATGAAAGGGATAACCATACCTGGTCCTCTATCAACAATTTATTCGCATTTAGAGTATTTACAATAGTGTAATAATACTAACAGCCACCAGATGCCAGCATATGCATGCAAGCACTAAATAAGTGCCTTTTTATGCTAAAAGACAAGGATGGTGCAGACCTCTCAGGTCATTATCTGGTTACAATCTCACTAAGAGTGTATTTTCTCTTCAATGTTTCAGTGTCATATAGAAATAAAAGATCTGATCATCAGGTCAGATCCACATGGCACTTCACTAAAGCTAATCTTGGATTTAAAGAGACCACTTACTGGAGAAAGGACTGTATCACTGGCTTAGCTGGTAATTGCCTTCTCTGTTCAAAACTGGCTGATTTCCATATGGGACTCTGACTGGAACTCCTAGCCTAGTAGATCTGTTTGCTTTTTTTTCCTTTGCATACTAAATTAAGGATCCTTACTATCAGATCTATTTGTTTAAATCTGCACAGAATATAACAAAATCGCTCCATCATCTCTGCAAAGTAGAGTGGATCTTCCAGATACATCATGTTCTTGGCTGCAGGCATGTAATCAGCGTAGGCAGGAAAAATAAAAGGCCAGGTACTCATGGCACAAACATACTGCAACACTTCCAGGTGCGGATGGTTCTTTTTTTAAGAACTTGTCAGTGCTTCTGCCAGAAGTCTTTGCAACACCATAAAGTAGTCACAGCCTTCTGAAACTAATTGCATGATGGAAACTGCTTCTTACAGATTTCTTCCAGAGCAGAAAACTTTGGTCCCAGAGTGTTCAAAAAATCAACAGGTAAGTCCTCACTGCCAATGGAGAGAGAGCAGAAGGAGTTACTTCGCTCTAGTTCTCCTTCCTCGGCGTATCTGCAAGGTTCATAGGTGGCCCTGTCATCTTCTACCATGTTTTGGTAGTACAGTCTCTAAAGAAGGGAAGAAACAACACAAATCATCATAGAGGCCCCTACTGCCCATTTGGAAATTAAAGGAATTCATGGTGTGTAAAAATTAGGCAGGTAAACCAGGAGGTTACGGTGACGAGTATGAGTCTCTGATAAGGAAAAGTTTTACTGAAACTCTCAGCTGCATAAGCACCAGAGCCTGAACTTCCCCTACAGTACAAATGAGACAGAAAAGAACATTTGATCTGTCTTGGACTGGGCAGCTATCAAGCAAACATGAGTGCGTGGAGGCATGCAGTCCGGCCCAAGGAGGAATGGAAGACAGGCCTGTGAACATGCAGTGGCCAGACACGACATGGCAAGAGGAACTTGGATTTCCCTTACAGCACAGAAGTGCAAGAGAAAGCAACTGAACTTTAACCCTGGACAGCAGCAGAAAGCATTTAGCTCCACATCCCCATCTTGAAGAATTTGTTACAGGTGACAGACTCCAGCCTTGCAGTACCTGCCAGGTGACCAGCCAGAGGCCACAAGAAGTCTATGAGAGAAGGCATATTCAACAAGGAATAGTCTTGAATGTTTCCCCATCAAATATATCCCCGCTTTCTATTGAAATGCTTCTTAGATGTGGGTTGCTAGAGCAGCTGAAGCCATAGCAGCTTTCCAGTTTAGCAAGCCTTTCTTCCTATACTTACAAGCCAACTTGACAAAGGAGGGATTCAGCATCCATTTCTTACCTGATCCAGTATTTTGTTCACTGACTGTATGATGCAATCAAGGTGTCTCCCTTGGAATGTCTTGTAAGTAGTGTACAGACCATCCTGGAAGACAGACGTAGTATGTCAGGTTTGACCAGCATAAAGTCAAGTACTCTCTGTTCCATCCATTTCTCTTGTGCTGTCTTCTTCAGTTACATTCCAGCTTTTTCTGTTCAGGGACTGTTCTTATGAGTATATATTCAGTGTGCACGTGGAGTCACAAACTGTAGGCATTCCTCATAATCTCCAGTAATTAAATATGTTTCATCCTCTAAATTTCTTGGATTTCTTTTCATTTATGGCACCAAACATGACCTCAGAACTTTATAATGTCTACTTACACAGGTAATCCTAGATCCTAACTATGGTCTTAAGAATTGTGAAATTGGGTTCTCACATACATAGAAAAGGCTATTTTACATTTTCTTTGCCTGCTATAAGACAGAGATTGTTCTTAGAGTCTCTTGGTGATCACTGTGTGCTTACAAACAAAACACATGGCAGTCACCTACTGATGTAGACCAGAATTTCCTTCAGGCATTCATTACAATAAAAATAGATATCTATTAGAGAATACAGTGCAAAAATCCACAGAACAAACTCAAAAGTCTTCAAACCCCCAGAAGTATATCTCATAGTCATAAAAACACTCATAAATCCTGTCCACTCTTTTACAGTATGTTAAGCAGATGTTGACCAGCATATTTTTGATAGATATTAGAAGAATGAAGGTTCCATTTAATTTATGCCAAGAACTAAATAAAATCTTGTTCATATTAGTTCAGGTACCATGATAAGAATTTAGAAAGAAATTACACTTCCGAATATTTAGAACAGTAACTAATGAAAAGAAGTGCTAGTTTCAGACTGAAAGCTGCTAAAAAAAAATAAGTTGTCAACAGTATTTTAAATACCAGTGGAATCTCCAACAAGTGACACTTATTTTCTAATTGAATTATATCGCATTATTCTTCCCACTATTATTAATACTAAATCTCATTCTTAGGATTACCAATTTCTATGGTATAAAAAAAGGCATTTACACAAGGAAGCAGGCAGTTACCTCAGCAATCACTTCTTTTTCAGCCTCCACAGACACAGGTGGTAGAGCAGCATGATCTGTGATATCCAGCTGAGCCTGCATACAGGGAGAGCGATGGTATTAATAAGAAACTGAACTAGGCTGTGAAGGATCACACTTTTGCAGACTGTTCCCTTTTTCACTTTCATTTACTTCCTTGTTGAAAACACTAATATGTGCAGTGTGACAAGAGATGATATGCCTACTCATCTATCAGATTCATCAGTAGGATGAGGCACCTGGAAAGGTCCTGCTGATACTGAAAAGTGGTAGGAGTGAAAATAGTCTGTCACCAGAGTGGCATTATCCAGTCCATGAAGAACACCACTCCCCAGATAAGTTTAGTGGCAAAAAAAGCTTTATTTTGCTCAATGCCAAACCAGAGGAAATATAATAAAAATAATAAAAGAGATGACTATTACCACATTCAGCCACACACCAGAGGAAACATAAAAAAAAAAATAATAAAAGAGATGACTATTACCACATTCTGGTGGGGTAATGTGAATATATGCTTTTGCTCTTACCTGAGATAAAGACATTCTGCTCTCCTCATTATAGCTGACTAAAGTCTGTTCACCTTCTTGAGGTAGAACAATGGCTTTTCTCTTAGATCCTGGCATATAAAACCGGCAAAGTAGAATACTGGAAACTGTTGAAATAAGAAAGAGAATGGTGAAATGGGCACTGTGAATAGATCTGTATGGCTCAATACAATGGGTTGGTGTGGTACACAATCCAGTTCCAAATGAGCTAACTCGGAAGCCTCTAGCAATGTAGCTGTGCGGATGCAATGTTTGGCCTGGAATGGTTAGCCTGCTTTAGAAAGCCAAGCTGTTATCTCCACAAAGCACTACATTACATACTAGGTCACTCATAGGTAACCAGAGGAATAGTGGTCAGATAATCTAGTAATTTTTGCTTCAGGTAAAGAATCAGTAGCTCATCTCTTCAGCAGTAACCAACATGAGCTGTTACAGAGAAGGCAGCTCTATAGCAAGCAATTACTGAGTAGTGTAACCTTATGGGAGAAATTAATTACTTCCAGTTAGCCAGTACATGGTTAATGTCAAAAAAGTCAAGTATTTTGTTTTATTCAATGCAAACAAGAATATTTACTTTGTTGTACTAGAGTTCAACTTAATGACACACTTACATTTGCCAGTCGCCTTTGTAGCCAAAATATAATCATGGTTTTCACAAATAACAAGCTGAAAAATTCCATCTGTTAATATTGCATTTCTGGTTTTTCAGTTTAGATATTTTCTTTTTTCCTAGGTTACATATTTGTATTTATTGTTGTTCATACAATAGTATTCCATACATCTATGTCATTCATCTTTCCTTTTACATTTCTCTGTAATATACAGTCCTCACCTTTTCACATCCCAGCCATGAGTGCAGATAAGTTTCACTAATCTTTCTAGTGTGTTTTACTCTGTGTTGCCAACCTTGAATACCACCTTCCTCTGCATTACACATTGTATCATAGTGCCTAGTAATTTGAAAGTTTTCCTGGCTATCTATAAAGCTCTCTTCAGTTACTAGATAGAAATGGCAATGTCTTATGTTAGAAAACTAAAGTCTTCCTACAATTTGAAGAAACTGTCATGGACCGGGGCACATGGATAGAAGCACCACGAAGAGTGCAAGTATTAACTGCTTGCACCTTGACTACACTCTAACGCATTAAGGCAAATGGCTTTTCCTGTTAAGGCTGGTGGATTTTAGCACATACTCATGAGCTGCAACTGCAACGAGATCCAATGGGCAGATGACAGATAATTTGCACGCATAAGTCAGGAAGGTTACTTACCCAGTAGTAATAAGAAAGCTGTCAGTACTATTGCAATGGCACCACCTCCAAGTCTCACTGCTACTTGTGGAAGCGGGGAATCTTTACATGTATGTCCATCTGGGCAGAAGCAGAGCCTAACATGCAAATTCTGCCTTGCAGAAAATCCTTGCCTGTCCTGAATAATGACAGGCACCAGGTAGCTACCTTGTGGGAGGCTGCTTAACATTAATAGTTCAACTGACTCCCCTGAAAAGAAGACAAGCAAATTATTTCAAGACTCATAGAAATAAGTCTGATAATCTATAGTCCCTTCTGTTGATAATCAAGGAGAAACTCACTTGCACCACTGTTTCAAACACTGTTTCCAGCCTTAACGCACCATTGTAAATAGGACAAAATGACATTCCACTTTATCACCTTGCTGAGCCTTCTGGGCAAAGAGATCTGTCCTAGTCTTGCTGCATTCTGGCATAGCTGCACTGATAACCTCTAGAATTCATCAGGTAGTTAATCAAATTCAGAAGTGGTTCTTCAGCTGTCTTATCCCCCTTTCTGCAATTTAAGCACATTGCTTCTGGTCCTGACCTCAGATGAGATGAAGAACAATATAATTTTCTTTTTCAAATTGCAGCAACTTTATATTTGAAAGCTGTTCTTCCATGTCCTTTCAGTCTCATTGAGACTAATCAGTAACAAACCATAAAGGTAAGAGAAAGTGAAATAACTAGAGGGTGCATAACTGACAATAAACCTCTCATGAAGGACATGAAGGGAAGAACTCACCGAAGTTCCTTCCTAATTTCCAGTTACGCTTCACATATTCAGAGTCCTCAGCCAGCTCAAATGTAAATGGCCCAGAATGTGAATGGACTGGAGCAGACTTAGCTTTTATAACAAGAGGTGTCTCTTCTTTTTTGTCACACACATCTAAAGAAGGAGCCACTAATGTTGGCATATGATCATTATTGTCTGACAAGTAAAGCAGGATGGTGCCAGTACCTGTCTGTGGTGGAATACCTAGATAGGAGTAAAAGAAACAGGAAAACACTCACAGCTGGGGATCAACAAAAGCCAGTCCATTGTCTGGTTTATCCTACCAGTCACATGTAACACAAGTTTTAAACATTAGGTTGTTCTGCATTACCATTCTCCACTTAGGTCCTAAGTCTTGCTATAATTTTGTATCTAACATGCATCTCATCTCAAACAGTTCAAACACTGCTTGAATATTTTCTGACTGGCTACTTACCATGATCAATAGCATGAACAACAATGGTGTACACGCTGTTGTTCACATAAGGGGATTCTTGATCAAATTCTTTTGCCACAGTAAGAACTCCAGAATTCTCATCCATACTCAGCCAACCATCTGGGTCATGGGCTAGTTCATATCTTAAAAAGAAAGGAAAAAGTTACAAGTTACAATCTTAAATGGATTTTGAAGAATTTTTCTTTGTGCTTTCCAGCTCTGTAGGAATTTTCACTTGTTGGCAATGCTCACTTTTGTTAACTCTATGTCAGGTTGTGTGTTTCAACACAGCCAACAAACAGTTCTCCATAAAAGTCCCCATACCTTGTACAGGCGCATCAGAACTGTCCCTAGGGGATAAGAAAGTATCTCATTTGCACATCATATTACCACTCTTACAGCCAAGCATACTTTAGTCCCTTCTATGGCATCAAAGTTTTGTTGTCAAAAGTAAAATATAAATAATTCAACCCGGTTTTAGGTGAAACTATTTTGAAATCAAAAGAAACACTGAGCAACCAAGGACTGACTGCACCTTTAAATTGTATCTTACGGAACCAGCTATCAGGATCTGCAGTATCATCAATAGTAAACCTGCACCTCTAATGTACAACTGTAAAGATATATGTGTATGTATATACATATATGTACATATACCAAATTAAAATTCAAAACCTCTTTATATTCCTAAACTATTTCTTATTCGGAGAGCATCTCCACTTACTTTATCGTACTTGGCACATCATCTGGATATGTGGCAGGATACCTTCTAAATACTCTCCCAGGCTTCATTGAATCTTCTTTTTGGACAATAAGTACAGGAGGATGAAATGCAGGAGCATGTTGGGGCTGTAAGACCTTGATGTTCACAGTTGTATTTGTGGATTCTAAGCTTGAGATCATCACAATGCCATTTTTACACAAGAAGAAAGGTTCTTCATTTGCTACAGAAATGACAAGTCTCATCTCAGAGTCATCGTCATAGCTGAGAGGCTGAAATCAGCAGACAAGAGTCTGATTAGCAATTATGACCTTTGGTTTGGCAGTCACCTCTATACACTTGGAACTTAGAGGTGAGCTGAGCTCAACAAACTCAGCTAAGATGTTAAGCTATCGGTCTTGTAACCAGACTGGCTACATTACACGATGTCATGCTGTAGCTCATCTATTACTGCTCCTTACCTTATTAATACTCAAAATGCCTTCATTTGTGTCCGGATCTGTCTCAATGGTGAACTGTTCCTTCTCATTGCCTTTTACTACTCTGTATTTTGCTCTCCAAGCTGGAGTGTTGGGAGAGTCTTTGTCTTCCACTTGGAGCCGTAATACAGCTGGATGTTCCTGACCTGCTGAAATCTGTAGCTGGTACTGAATGGGGAAAGGAAAGAAATAAGGACTATTTATCTTCTCCAAGAGAAAGAAACTTGTTAGCTAGTTCTGAGCCAGAGTTCCACCACAGACCCTGCAGAGCTACCTTCTGCACACACTGTCGTCTCTGGTGGTTCATGTGTCCCCATTCAGTGACAGAGAACCTCTATGGGAGTTAAAGAACTAACTTTCCTCCAACACATTCCCACTGGCTCCATAAGGAACTTATTACTAAACCTGACCTTCATCTAAAACTGGGAGTCTGTCCCTCCTAATATTGGCTATAGCAATAGGCCCATAAATGCCACTTGGGCTTTTCATCCAGGATTTTTTTCTGCCATGTAGAAGAGGTTGGTGCATACAGGCTTAGGCCAGAACTAGTCTGCATATGTTACAGACCCGACCTTGTAGAAAGCAAGTATGTGTGAGATTTTAGGTAATTTCTTTTCAATGGTTTAAGTTTTTGATGGTGCAATGTGGCCATGAGCTTGCCTAACCAGTACTCCAAAGACAGGCTAAGCAATGCCAATTAAACCACCTAAGGCAGAAATATGTCTTAAAATATGAGGCAGTAATAAAATGTAATTTGTTTGTGTTTATTTTGTTCATATAAATTGGTCACTGCTTGAGATCTGAAAATTCAGACTTTTGCCTTCTAATATGTGAACAATACTGTCCTTGCATCATGCCTTTCAAAACTGCTGTGAAGAATTGCACGTGTACTCAGAGGGAACAAATCACAACTGTGAGAAGGCTCAGAATTTTACTAGACTGGAGTTAATGATGATGAAGCCCATATTTCTTGTATAAACCTGTTTTAGCAGATTATTTAACCTTATTCCCTCAAGTCTTCCAAATGCCATCCTGCAGGTAAGAGACCTACCATAGTAACACACTGGTGTTTGCTTTTGTAGGTGACTCTGTACCCACTGTTGTAACCCAGTATCTATTCTTACCATTCACAGCTTCAAATATTTACACACACCAGTGCTTGACATGACTGCACACTTGTGTGTGTACTGGTTTGGGCTGGGATATTTCATTTTTTTCACAGTAGCTAGTATGCGGCCATGTTTTGAATTTGTGATGAAAACAGTGTTGATAACATAAGGATGTTTTTGTTATCACTGCACAGTGCTCACACAGAGTCAAGGCCTTTTCTGCTTCTCCCCCCCCCCCCCCCCCCCCAGTGAGGAGCCTGGGGGTGCGCAAGGAACTGGGAGGGGGCACAGGCAGGACAGCTGACCCCAGTGGAGCCCAGGGAAACCCCACACCATACAGAGTCATGCTCAGCAATAAAAGCTGAAGGGAAGGAGGAAGGGGAGGACATTCAGAGTTACAGCATTTATCTTGGTGATGAAGCCCTGCCTTTCTGGATATGGCTAAACACCTGCCCGCTGATGGGAAATGGTGAATTAAATCCTTATGCTGCTTTGCTTGCAGGCGTGGCTTTTGCTTTGCCTATTAAACTGTCTTTATCTCAATCAACCCACAAGTTTTCTCACTTTTACCTTTCCAGTTCTCTCCCCCATCCCACTGCAGGGGAGTGAGTGAGCAGCTGGGTGGTGTTTAGCTGCCAGCCAGGGTTGAACCACAGCAATGCATCAACATGCAAATTACAAAAACAGTCTTTCTGTGGCCTGAGCTATTAACAGGACCAGAGCCTGAAAATGATTAGCTCTTACCTGATTTCAAATGTAGCTGTCTACCCCTCCACAGCTTTCAACTCCTCAGAGCCCTCTTCCTGCCAGCAAGCCCAATTGCTCCCATTCATACAGCAAATGCTGTACAAGCACCCTCAGAGAGTAAGACAGCATAAGCATCGCCACGACACCCCACTGCCCCGTTAAGATGTACTGAGTATGTAGGCAGGCAGGTTTAGGGCCATTGAGGCCTTCAGGGATAATTTCTAGGATCTTTCAAAAGCAGATTGTAATCAGCACCTTAGCTTCTCAGATGTTAGAATAAGCTAGTCTGTCAGCATCCTTACGCTAATAGAGAGACAGAAACCTCCTAGTGCAGTACACAGAAAATTAACAAAGTTTATCATTGCCAGTAGTCAAGCATTCTTTTACTGTCCACAGTTTTAAGAGATATTTCTTCTAACACAAAGCTCATTTGCACATGTTTTGGCCTGATTCTGCAAGTGTCTGAGGGTTCCCAATGCCATTACTGAGTGTATTTAGCAGCTTGAAGGACTGAACTGTATTTAGAAATACTCAGTAAAGTAATGTTTTTCCTTACATTATTACTAGTAAATACAGGGAGGTGGTTGTTTGCATCTTCAACAGCTACATTCACTGTTGTAGAAGATGATAGCTGGGGAGTTCCATGGTCACGGGCTATAATCAGAAGTTTGAAAGAGTTGGCAGTCTGAAAAACAGAAGAAAGGAAGTTCCAAACTTAATTCAGAAGCAGTTCCCACATTTTGACAGTCACAGCTACAAAGCTGGATGTGAGGCTCTGCTTCCCCTTATAACTAGTTAACGTGTAGTGAACATATATTGTGCATTAAATTATAAGAAGCTGCCATATGTACATCACCTTATAATCCAGGCATCCTGACAGAAGTATTGATCCTGTGGTAGCATCAATATTAAATGTGAGTCCATCTGGAGGGTACATTTGCATACTTAGAGAATAGGACACCTGAGAATTCGCAGTGCCATCTTCATCTTTGTCCAAGGCAGTAACTTGGAAAACAGGCTCATCTAGGATGAAGAATTGAGACATTCATAAAAGTATTTAGTCTTGACGTGGAGTTTCTCAGGCCTGTCTGCAGGCTCTTGAACACACAAGTCCTAAGAAAACCTCTAACCTCTCCTGTGGCTATGGTTATCCCTACAAAGAATCTGGCTGCCACCTCATTTGGGTGGCAAATCTGCCTGCTGTTACAATAGAGTTACCACACTCCTGAATTTATCAAAAACATTCACGAGTTATTTATGCCAGCTCTCAGCCAGCTCCCGAGGAATTGGCACCATGCCCAAGTCTACACAACCAGATTAAGTCTTTGTATTTCTAAAACAGGGTGTCTGACTGTCTTCTGTGAAGCAGTGTGCATGTGCAGGTTCCAGATCCACAGTTCAGATTTGTCTACTAAAGTCTTGGCTTGTAGTTAAGAAGAAGTATCTTAGGAGTTTTTCCAGAACGTCTCAAACATTATGCTAATATACATCAAGGTTAATCAGACAAGAAGTCAGAAGGCAGGAAATAGTCCTTCATGGGAAACAGTCCCTAAACCCATGAGTGTTTAAGTAAAACCTGAGAAGAATAGATTTAGTAAGAAAGAAAAAAGAAAAACAAAGGAATTAAAAAGAGAGTAGCACAAACCAGTAGTATCCCTTGTTTGGATGGCACTTACCTTTACTATGGTTCTCTCTTACTGTAGTGCTATATTCCTCCTTGGGAAACTCAGGTGCATTGTCATTAATATCTTTAACCTTTATCTTGAAAAACAAAGGGCGGTCCAATAATTCACCGGTTTTTCTGTACACAATATCGAAACGTATCTAAACAAGTACAACACAGATATCAGAATGAAATGAATGGTATCATTTAGATAGCAGAATGGAACAAAAAACTTTCAATTTTGAAGCTGCTTCAGTCATATTTGGCTAGCATTTGGCTTTGAGTTGCATCAGTATGTCTCTATTTCACCTTTCAAAAGTAGTAGTTTCATAATGATCATTCAGCGCATTAAACAATACTTTTTAAAAAATCAGTACCTGGGGCTGGATCTGGGTTATTTGAAATGACCGCCTAATGTAAAATACATAAATATCCTTGGGACCAGACAAAAGAGTGCTTTCACATGTGCTTCCCAATTCTGAAGTATTTATTTAAGTAGTATATTCAGTTTTCTCTAGCTGCATACAATGTTTTGGCTCCATATCCATGAATGTGCAGGGGATTCAATTCTGAATGCTGAATTCTCCTTTGCTACATTTATTTCTGCTTTAAAACCAAGCCCAGAGTGTCTGCCTCCAGGGCTGCTGAAAAAATCATTTTATCATTTATTTAGAGGTTCAAAATAAGAAAATGAGGTCATAAAAACACACACTTGAAATTTGCATAGGTGCAGCTTATTCTAGTAAAGCATTTAGCCATGAGAAAGCAATTAATATTTGCAAACAGTTTTAAGTATTTTTGGAAGTGTGTTACCTGAAAAGTTGGGGTCTTTTCTCTGTCAATGCTACGATGTACATACACATGTCCATTTGCATCATCTTCTATCGAAAACAATCCAGTCTCTGGAGATTCATCTACCCCAGGTCCACTGATTATATATTTCACTGATGTATTGAATGATTTGTTATTGAAGAGCTTTTAAAAAGAGAAGTAGCACAGCGCAGAGTGAGTAGGGAAGACGGAACAGAAATAAAAAAACTTTAGACCAATTCTCTTTCTGTCCACCTTCTCTTTGCAGATGGGGCCTTGCTTGCAGGCTTGGGCACAGACAACTCAACAGCTTTTTGGGTTGCTGCATCACTACTGTCTGCAGAACATGCAGGTACACAGCTCGCTGCAATGACTCTCTTACCACTCCCACTCTACAGTCTTCTTTCCCCTGGTATGCCTGCAGCTTCTCATAGAAAGGAGCAGCATACACCCCCCCACCACACAATTCCATCCAACTCTGTGTAAATAAGATGACTTTGAACAAGTAAGTTTTTTCTTTATTGCTGTTTGATGCACAATTCTTGCCCTCTCCTACCTTTGGTACCTATTGTACAATCTGTGGCAATGAATACCTTACTGAGGTTCAGGAAGAACTTTTACTAAAAGGTTGTTTGTACCTGTCCAGCATATTTTGGGAATGGTCCTTTGTCCTCCTCTTCAACATCAATGACGGTGATAACCCAGGTCCTTTTTGTACGGTGTAAAGGATGTAGACTGTCTAACTGATAAGAATTTAACAACTATTGGATAAAGAAGTGTATTTAGTGTCATAGTTTACATATTAAGAGTTGTGTGTCTGCTATTATATAATATTGACTACAAACCTGAATACTCTTCTTTTGGATAGCTTGCCTTAAACTGAAATTTTCAATTCCATGAGAAAAACTGTTGGCAGTAGTAACCTTGTGGGGGGGAAAAAAAAAAAAAGTGATTGTGAGAAGTGTGGTTAACTAGAAACAATTGATATGTTTTCTAGGAGGAATTTGGCTTCACAGAAACACATTGATCCAGTTTTGACAGCATTGTATTAAATTGTATCTAAGCCTGAAAACCCCACAAATATCATCCATCTCATTCCAAATGAATTGGCATGGAAGCTTGGATACAAATTTCTCTGGTTGGGTGATGCCAGTCCCAGAAACATGCAAACACTGAATCAAACAGTCCATGGTATTATCTCCACAGCTTTTCTCAAACCAAGTATCCTCAATTTTTAAAACATTCATGTCTGTCTGTCTGTGTCTAGTGATCCTTCAGTAGTCATCAGGTATTGACAAGACATAAACCTAGTACTGGAAAAAAGTTAAGTCTGGGGAGTATTTCAGGTTCACAGAGACCCACTGATGTGATTCTAAGCATTCCAAACATAGCTGATTTACCAGAAGATGAACACTGGACCAAAGTCTCTAATTCGGATGAGTAAAATAACTTATTGAGAAGGGTGACTGCATGCTAATCAGCAGGATTTGCCCGTTTATAAGCACAAGCTTCCTGCACTGGCTTCAAACATGGCTTTTTATTTGCAATCTCACACCACAGAGGATTATGACAGTACTCAAATGACACTCTTGCCTTTAGTTCACAGGTAACTTATACACCTTTGTGCTAGTTTTCACTGTTTGCATTGGAAAGCTTGGGGGTCTATGACTCATTCCATCAAATGTTTCCAGTGGCATTTTAAAAATGAACAGAGCTCTTTCTGCCTAGATGTGGGCGAAGGTCAGGCCTTTACCCCATGACCTTTTTCTGAAGAAACAAAATCCTTATAAAATTGCCATGGCTATAAACCTGCCAAGGCATGGGATGTCACCAGCAATGCCTTGGAGCTACTTTGTAAAGCCGTTGTATAGCCCAGGTATATACCTCTGTGATGTAAAAACAGCAAGCAAGGCTTTCACTTGGCACTTGCATGTAGTATTTATTAGCTTTGTTCCAGGTTCAGCTCTGCTGGGCCCCCCCGCCCCCCCGACCAAGCTGCTTTCCCCTTTGTGCACATGTAGCCGCTTTTAATTACACTGGAAGCTTTGATTGTGTATTTTGCGGCTTCCACACTCCTTCCTCCACGTGCACCGCTTGCACAGCAATGGCCCAGGCTATGGCTGTATTCATTCCAGCCATGGGCACTGCTAGAAAGGCACAACCCAATTCAGGACCCCAACCCCCCCCCAAGAAACACTTACGGAAATGCCACTGGATTACTGGAGGCGTGTGGGGCGTCATTAACCCCGCACGGTCAGCACTAGGCACCAGGGCGCTCTGCCGAGCCGGAACACCCCAGTACCCCTCGCAGGAGGAGCGGGGGGCTGCTGGCAACCCCTCCCGGCAGAGCGGAGCCCGGGTCCGGGGGACAGAGGAGCTCCCCCTGCCCGGAGGTACCGCGGGGACAAGCGATGCCCGGCCCCCGGCCCCGGCCCGCACCCACCTGCAGCAGCAGCAGCGCGGCCGGCAGCGCCATGGGCCGCGGGCAGCGGAGCGTAGCGGTGGCCGAGGGGCGCGGAGCGGTCGCCGAGGGGCGCGGAGCGGTCGCCGCGGGCAGCGGAACGGTCGCCGAGGGGCGCGGAGCGGTCGCCGAGGGGCGCGGAGCGGTCGCCGAGGGCAGCGGAGCGGTCGCCGCGGGCAGCGGAGCGGTCGCCGAGGGGCGCGGAGCGGTCGCCGCGGGCAGCGGAGCGGTCGCCGCGGAGCCTGGGGACGACCCGCCACGCCCCCGGGAGGAGGGACCGGGGCGCGTTCCGCGGGAACCCCGCAGTCGGTTGCGCCCGAGCCAGTTCCTCGGAAGGCGATACAATGGCTTATCACACGCGAAGTTTGGTTTGGGTTTGGTTTTTTTCCACGGAGTCGTTACCTGTGGTTTCACCGGTGTTTGAACTGTCCCAGACAAACGAGCATTTCTGCCTCGTCAGACAAAATTACAAAAAAAAAAAAAAAAAAAAAAAAAATTGAACTGTTGGTTCTGTAAAACTGAAATGACCCAAAGCAAAGCTCAATCCTCCTTTAGTGTTTTGCTTTGTTTTTTTTCAGTCAGCTTGCAGCTGCCACTCTCAGTATTATGCAAATCAAATGCGTCATTACTGTGGTTTTATGACCATTATACAGCCAGCATAAAACACAATGCCATTACCTACTACCTTCACAGTTGTTTGCAAAAATGCAAACATGCAATGTGATACTTAATGGCAGCTATTTGTATCTGCCATGCCCAGGAGTGATACATTTATATTACTCCAGACTTTGAACCAAGAACAAGTTCTATAGAAGCTTACTTGAAATCTGATAGGAACAATACTAGAGTGGACAGTTAAACCCAAAAGTCACCAAGCAAGTATTAACTTGTATACCTGAAGCTGAACTTCCCACACAGCTTTTGAAAAATACGTTTGAAATAAAACTACGTAAAGAAGCAGGAAATTAAAAATTAAACCTTGTAAAACCATGTAAAAAGAAGATCGAGTGGCAGAGAGTAAGGGGAAGGTCCTGGCTTCTATGAAAACTTTTATGGCATTTTCCCTTCTCCTGTATTGCTTGTACTGGGCACAAAGAGGTTTATTCTTTTTCTGATCTGGAAAATAATGAATTTAGTGTTCTGGAAGTTGTGAAAGGAAGATTTAGAGAAGAACTGATCTTCTGTTCAGGGGAGAAGAAAAGCAATAGACCATGTCAAATAGGCCACAATGTTTTAAATAACAGTGAGCGTGGGGAGGAAGGCAGGCAGGTGATTTTCAGGGATTCACTAGTAATGGGACAAGACAATAGTAACAGGCTTAAAGAACAGGACAGGGTGTGATGGTTTAGACATCAGGAAAACCTCAAATAGCAAGAACATTCTGACTGTGAAATTATTGCGTGATATCTCACAGAGGAGTGCTGTAATGCTTAAAATAAATATTATAAAAATAGCAAATCAAAGGGATTTTCAACACTAGGAAATGCCAGGTTTTTTCCCTTTGAATCTCCCTCCCTTCATTTTACTCTTGATAAGTCTCAGCTGAACATAGGAACACGCTGTGTGTGAAGTTAAACATACTTGCCCATGTATACTAACACCATAAGAATCTGATTCTCTGCAAGCATCTATGCACATCTTTGCTGTTCTTTGGATCACGTTCTAAGTGTTCTGGAGATGATAACAGAGAATGTGAAACTCACTGATTAGTACATTTAAAAAAAAAAAAAAAGGTACGAACATGATGAAGTAAAGTTTTCCTATTATTTGAATCTACTATGATGCCTTAACACAGCCATTACAGAAGTGACTGCTCCGTGGAGTGGAAATAATCAGTTCCAACTACCTAGCTTGGCCATCAGCAGCAATACAGCCGAGATACGCGGAGCCCCAAGCTCCAGCCTACACTGCAGTTCCTTCTCTACAGCGAAAGTCAGAGGTGCCATCTCGTGGCTGATGAAAAAAATACAACTAAGTAACAAGCAGTATATCACTTTTAATATAGTAAATATACAGTAACTTTGAATTACAAGATCACTTTCCAATGAAATTACTACCAAAAATATCCACAGAAAGTTCAAATAAATAAGAAGACATGTTTACCAACATCAAAAGCTGGGCTGCAAATTCTCAGTTAGTAGACTTCCAGTCTTTCCAGATAGAGCGGTCTGTTTATTTTTTTCAGAAAACCCACCAATGCCAATGGGGGCAACGAATGCTCAGTACCTTTAAAATAAGGCAAAAAAATACTACATTATAGGCATTTTTATACTGTAGAAATTCCAACTATAACATCACCTCCAAGAAGAGTATCACATACTGACTGAAAAAGCTGTCAAAATACCCTCAAACTCCTAACAAGATCCTTGAAATAGCAAATACAAGATAAAAGTTACCTCAAACAATAAATGAAACACAGAGAGGACACAAGCAGTAACGGGATTATGGCATAATTACACAGTCTGAAGTCAAACAAGACACTTCAGTCCAGTAGAAGCCTGTGCAGCACACACCCTCCGCCGTCCTGTTGGGCCGGGTGGGCAGCCAGGAGCAGCGGGGCACTGGGAGCTGTGGTCGCGGCATCCTGGGAGAGGGGCAGCGGCAGGAGGTGAGAGCTCCCTACTTCTGGCAACCCCTTGGCTCTAAACTCAAGTTTCTCAGAACAAATACTGCTGAGCCTTTTTGCCTCTGTAAGAAGCACTATCACCCCACAACCCTGAATCTGTACCAGCAAATGTGAGCTTTCATTCGGAAAGCAAATTACAGTCCACCATCTCAGCCTTCACAAGTGGCCACCCCATGATTTAGGATACTGAACCAGCAGTGGGGATTGATCTGAATCTTCCTTGCAAGGCTCTTCCACTTGAGGAGGCTGTGAAGCCCCTTGTCCCAGAGTGGTGTGCACAGCTCACAAGGTGATGCTCTTTGGAGCATAACTTCTGAGTAACTGCAGCAGCTTGATACCTGCACTGCTGACAGGATGAGGATCTGGAGGCATCATGCAGAAACTTCAGACTGGCTGTATAGAACTGAAAGGTGGGAGGGGGGGAGGTACGGGGGAGATAAAACTTTAACTGACCCCAGTATTCCACTGCAGAAATTAAAGTAATGGAGAAATAAGAAACATGTCAAGAGAAAAAACAATATTTTTTTTAAATTCTTTATGTTATGCATTGAAATTACAGTTTAACATTACTAAGGAAAATAATTTATACATACTGGAGTCAAATTATGTTTCCTCTTATCTTTGTAACACAGTAATTTCATTGAAAACAACATGAGTTGTTCAAAGTTTATACTAGTATAACTGAAATCGAATCTGGCTATTTTTTTTAAATACAACCTGAGTGTATTTGTTCTGTAGGTAGTACTGCAGAACATTAAACCTTTAAATTACCTAGAAGAAAAAAAAAACAACACTCTAAATATCTCACATCACAGTAAACTTGTTCTTCAAGAAGTATTGTCAATGCTAGGTTCAGACACACATATGATCATACTGCTAAACATAGTGAATAAAAAAATATAAATAGCCACACAAATGCTGTGTTGTGGAAGGATTTTAATTCCAAACAATGTATTTGATGGAATAAACTTTTCCGCTATATTCAAAGTGCTTTTAAAGACAATACCCATCAATATAAAATGAAGGAAACATAAACCATAGTCCTCTTCATAAAAGGAGCTCTTTTAAACTATAGGCCCAGAACATAGTCAAGTTAAAATGAAAGCAAAAGTGCTGCAGGATAATATCCAATCTTGCAGGTCTGCTCACACTAAGAGCTGTTTGTTGAGGCAAACACGGAATTTATGGTTTTGTATGCGAACAGAGAAGACTGTGTAAAAAGTAACAAATCAATGAACAAATATTAGATTTGTGTGATTATCATGTGAGACAAACTTACTTGGCCAGATCACAGCCAGAGCTGATGGACATGTACTCAGACATTTTAAGTGGCATCACCAACTCCACCTGCTTAACTTTTTGGTTTCCAACTGATGTCCATCATATCACAAGCACTACATTAAAATAAAACTTTCCTAGGTCTGTGAGAAAAAAGTTTTCTCAGTGCCAATTGCCTCTGCTCTGGTCAAAGCTGACAGAAATACTATTTATTTAATCTTTAAGAAGTGATCATGCAACATGTGCCTCTATCTATATGCCCTCCTTATAACTTACAAAAGCATCAATACAGAGTAACATTTCAGATGAAAATTTGGCACACACTAATATTCAGTGCTATAATAACATGCTGAATTACTGCATCTAACACAATTTGTTTAAAAAACCTGCTATTCTGATTATTGGTATGATCCTGCTCAGCTTGCTTTTTGTGCTTATAGTAGTGCACCAAAATTGTGCACTAAAGTAGTGCTTATTGGCAAGAGTAGAACTGCCAACTTTCACTACTGTTAATGTGAATCAGGAAAACTTGACTAATGAAGGCTTGCAGAATTTGGCCAGAGCCTGAAGTTCTAGCACTGGATGCAAGAACCCTTCATCTGTGAAAAGTGAAATACACAACTCTGGAACAAAACAAAAGGATGAAATGGCAACAATAGAATGTGCTGGTCCTCTGCAGCTGCTGGTGCTGAATGCCACCTTCTAAGTTTCATCACACCTCTGACAACCAACTTATTTGATCTTTGAGCATGTCAGATTCACTTCCACTTTAATTGCATAGAGCTGAATGTACATGCAACTACAATTCATTTTAACTGTAGCTTCACAAATACTGAATATGGAAATATAATACTGTATATTACATCTGTTTCCTTTATCAATTTAAAATTCACATTTGGTCTCAAGTAGACTAGGAAAAAAAACACTAAAAATACTTTTTAGACTATTCCTGAGCAATGTTTTTATGTACTGTAAAATACTCTAGTTTACTACTACATTTATTAATATTCTCACATTTTAAACTACATATAAATCCATGCTTTGAAATTTTACAAAGCTCAAGATCTGGTAGGCACAATGAAAGAATAGAAACAGCTAAGCATCTTAAAACCAAGATGAGATCAACAAAAGAAGTGCAATTTGACTATATACATAATGTACTTTTAGTATTTGCTACTTTTTAATTTTCTATCACAATGTGAAGGATCCACGTGTAAAACCTGGTCCATCAGACCTCAGCTCACTTCTCATAAACAGTTCACTGTGACTGGTGGCTGAGGATGAAGTTAATGCTGCTCAATATTTCATTTTAAAATGAAAGTACAAAACATCCTCTAGAATTTCATCTTTAACAAGATTGTGCCCCCAGATGCTGTGATTGATTTGAAATTTTAACAGATGAACTGACACTTGAATACTCACTGAACTCACTTCATTTTCTCTTGTACCTCACAGACACAAGAGAAAACAGGTCTGAGGACAGGACCCAACCCTGGTTGTACAATTTTTTTCTGCAGGTTATTTCCCCATGTTGCTTCACAAAATCTTGAAACAAGAAGCCAGGCTAATTGAAGGAGACTGGACCATGGGATAAATAATAGTCATCTTGGGTAACTGAAAACAGGTATCTTTTGTATCAAAATATATCTTTATTTGAACTTACAATAGCCTTTATCCGCTGAGTCTATTTTTTATGTTTTGATAAGCTACCAGTTCTGCAAATTAGGCCACGGAGTCTCTAGTATTACCCTCATTTTGCATTAGTCATATATATCCATGTGCAATTCGAAATTTGGTCATTTCCTCTAAATGACAAAAAGCATCAAGGCTTATAAAATGAACTTCAAGGAAAGTTGTAAACACAGTGAAGATTTCTGGGTATAAAAATACACATTCCATTTTCTTAATATGACACTATTGAAGATCTCTGCTCCCTAATAATTTTTTGTCTTAAAAAGAATCCTTTCTGCATTAAAATATTTCAAAACATTATCTCCATTCTTCTTATCAAAAAAAATAAATATCTAATTCATCAAAAAAAAATCCAATTCATCATCTTCTGTGAAGAATTAGAATTTGACTTTGCATAGATAAGCATGCTCCATTATTTTATAAAACAGTTGAGCCCTTTTCCATCAGAAAACATTACCACCAAACCTCTTACAAAATAGCACATCTGTCCAAGAGAAAGAGATGAACCCTATTCTCTCAAATACACCAAGTGTAAGGAACACCACAGTCTTCAATGGACTTCAACTGGTGCGAATAGGACATCATGTTATAATTCTGTATTTCCCTAAACTTTCATACTCTGCTATTGTTATCTTAATTAAGCAATTTTAAATATTTTTGAGGAAATACCACTGGAAGACACTTGCCTTCAGGGAAAAAATTTCCTGCCGGCCTTGCTGGCTTAAGATCAAATATATTGAAATGAACAGTGCTGACTTAGAACCATGCATCAAGAACATATTTTCTCAGGATCTTCCTATGAGGAAAACATGACCCTTCTGCATTGGCCAAATGCCTTCTAGCAGTCAAGAAGCATCATTTATTAATGAAGTTTTTTCTTCATTTAAATTTGTGCGATGTTTGCTTCGTGCCATTTGTTTTTATTTTCCTGTCCCCTGTTGTTTTCTTAGAAGGAACGTAACTGTTGGCATTGCCGTTTTTCTTTGGATTTGTACACGCGTGTGTTTTTAAGCCTTTGATGGGAGCAGCCGAACCATGAAATACTGGGGTTTGATTTGGGGGTCTGATATTACCAACACTTTGAATTTTAGAACTGTTCTCAGAGGGCTGCATATTGAGAAGCTGCTGTTTTGCAGTTGGTTTTTTTTTCAGTTCACTCCTTACTTCACTAGATTGTCTCTGAGAAGACATTGCATATCCCACTCTCTCAGAAAATTTCTGGTGACCTGGATGAGAATGTATCTGGTGACTTTCTTCACAGTATGAATCTCCCCTGTGACCTGAATAGCTTCTGGGCAGCTTTGAAACACTTTCTTGGGGAATCACTTGCTTTTTAGGCACAGGGCTGAGCAATGCTTTGCCTCTGCCAGGGCTTTTTAGGGTACGGATGGAGCTGGGAGCAGTCTGTGGTCTGGCTTTGGCTGCCTTTCCTTTCTCATTCTGTACAGTCTGCATTTGCAGCCATTCCAGCTGCAAAAGGCGATCAATATATTTCTCAAGAAATCCCGTTGGCTTTGGTCGAAATTCAGTTTTACCCTCTACGTTAACAAAGACAGCTAGTTGCTTCAAGTCCCATGAGTTGAAAGGGGGTGGGAGGAAGTCTGGGTAATAATATTCTGATTCTTTAAAACCCGTATCAGGTACATGTTCCAAACAAACTGGATCAATTTCTTCAGCTCTGAGAATGAGTTCTGGTGGTGTGCAGGGAGACGGGGGAATGGGAATCCTTTCTGAATCAGAGAGATCACTGGCACTATCATCTTCAGCATCTTCTTTAATAATTTGTACTGATTCAAAATCAAGAAACATTTCATCTATGGATGCTTCTTGCCATTTAGAAGAGCATGGACCAGCTTCAGCAACATGTTCTTCGTGATTCTTTTCCAACCGTTCTTTTTTACTGCAATAAAAATGTTGCACTGGGACATCTTTAACCCTACAGAAGCTACCTTGTGTGCTGCCCTTTATGCTAGGAGGGATCCTGTGCAGAAAAGATTCATTTTGCCTTCTTTCTGGGAGACTTCTCTTTGGTCCTTGTACTCCATGCAGTGATGTGCAAACACTCGTGATCCTAAATAAAAAGGAAGATCATATCCTGTTAGAACAATTAATGTCTTTGGAACACCAGGATACAAAGGTCTTGCTACCTCCTTCAAGGACATGGACCTACACGAATGAAGCTAAAACTGGCACAGACACTTGGTAATGAGATAAAGTTAAAATTTGCTGGCAGAGATAATACTCCCTAATACTGATTTTTTGGTTTATGCTGATTTTGCCTGAGAACTCACTAAGGCAGGATAGTAAGCTTCCATATCGATAATTTGTTTTCCTCATAAATGCTGAATTCTGAGACCAGTGAAGTCAAAGACAAAATACAGAAGCCATGATGTCATCACAAGCATTTTTTATACCAGTTTGAAATTACTACAAAATAAACAGACAACCTTAACATAAAACTACCTTTTTGACTGACTATTGTCATCCAGCTGGTTTCTTCCCTTCTTAAAAATACTTGGTTGGTTACCATCTTGCGTGTCATGGGAAATCTGGAAAGATATGAAAGTATGTGATTTTATTAAGAAGCTGAAATAAACTAAGCACCCTTTTTCTGTAAACAAACAAACAAAAAGGAATTATTTACCTTTTCATTGACACTTGATACATTTTTGCCTAACCTTCCAGGAGAAGATTTCACATGAGAAATTGATTTATTTAGTCCTTTGGTGCTTGGATGGCTTCTTCCATTACTGTAATGAGCCAGGATTAAACAGAATATCACATGTAAATAACAAGATATACGGTCATCAGAATGGAAATACAATATAAGTTTAGAGTGCAATTTAGTTTAAAAAAAGAGAGTTCATTGTAACTATTCTTAGACTTAAGAAATCATCAAAACTATGCCATGGTCACTTTTTATTTTTTTATGCTACTAATCCACTATTATATTTTTAATATTGCTGATGCAAAAATAAGTAATTAAATAATATGATATAATAATAGAACTTAGCCCTTACACAGAATCCTCCATCAGAGGGTCTCAAAGTTATTCTGGGGATAATAAATAGTAAATATTAGAGACTACACATTTAACTACTAGTTTCTAGAGTACCTGCTACATGGTCCTGCTGCAATTTAACAAAATTAATTATAAAGTACAATATCAAGGCCACTGCAAGCCAAATCTTGCTTGCCTTTCTCATTTGTGTACTCTCAACAAAATTTAAAGGACTATTCCTATGTAGTTAAGAAGTGGAAGTGAGCAAGGAGCACAATCTATTCTGATACTAATACAAAATATTTCACAACAAAGGCACAGACAAAATTCATCATTTTACATTATAGTGGGGTTGTAGCAATAGTAGGAGAAAAACTCATACGCAAGTAAAAGGAATTACATTACTGATCCAGACTGCTTAAAATTAAAATACATTATTTCCTCAATTAGATACATTTTTGTGCAAGCACACAGAATCATTAAATCAGTGTAATCTGTAAGAAACAGAAAACAGTGTTTGTTCTACAAACAAGAAATATTACTAATTTAAAAAAGGAAATCTTTAAAACGTCATTTTAGAACAGGAATGAGAAAACTGTACCCTCCTGGTCTAATCTAGTTTGACTGCAGTTCAGTTAATCTGTCAGGCTGTACATCTTGTTCACAGTTTTTGTCAGTATTGTCAGATTTTGTTTTAGAAAATACTATTTCACCAATTCATGAGCTTATAAAAGAATGAAAATGAGTCTTGTTCCTCCAGCACTGATGCAGTCACCTCTGTCACTTTGTGACCTGCATGGTCATACTGCACCATCATTTCTGTTGCTGTGGATCAGAGAAGATGATGATGATCTGAAGAGTACAGCCATGTACATATTAACCAATCTATAGTATTTAGAGACTTCTGTAACTAGAAAGAAAGAAAATAATTTCCTTACTTTACCATTCCTTCGTGGTTTTCATTGCTTTGGCTTTCCTTTTTCTGTGTTTCTCTGTGCAGCAGTAAGGGATATTCTTGAATGCCTGGTCCCATTATTACTTTTTAAATGGCATCTGCACCTTTATTTTTACATAATCTTCAAATGACTCCAGTCTTTTGGGCTTGTAAGACACAGCGTATCAAATGCAAACATCACCACGTCCTAGAGATGCAGTAAACAAACACCACGCGATTCCTCCCAATGTGTTTTATGTTTAAAGCAGGAAGATAATCAGCTATGAAATGGTACTGGAAAACACTGTCCCCTCCCCCAGCGCTCACTTAATGGGAACCAGTATCATTCGCCTTCCTATTGCCGATCCATGCCGAGCTGTCATCGCGCTGGGTACCGAGAGGAGAGCTGAGCAGCGAGGGCAGCCATGCTCCCCCTCCCAGGGGCACGGGATGGCCACTAAAGCTGCAGAGCACAGCAGGCCAGAGCCAGGCAGGGGGGAGAGGCGCAGGTTTTGCTGTGGGAAGCCCTGCTGCTGCTGCAGCCACCCGGCACAGCCCGCCGTCAGCCCCGGTACTGCAGCAGCACTGGGGGAGGCTGGGCCAGCCGCCCCACAAACCACCGAGCTCTTGCCGTGAGGTTTACCAACCCCTTCCCTGAAAGACTCTTGGTAAAATACAGGAAAAATATCTGAAGGTACGGCAGCGTTAGAAGAGTTACTTCTTGTTGTGTAACGTGATCGTCATTTTGTTCCTCCTGCGCAGCATTACATGTATTGACTGGATCCCAGTATCACAGTCAAATGATGGTGGGTGTTTCTGCTCTTAATTTAACCAGAACAGATGATCAACCAGCTGCACTCTGTGCATGCTGGGTTGTCCTTTTTGTGTCAGAAAATGTGCTCTTCCTATATTCATATATGCAGATTCTGCATCAAATACTTCTTTTTTTCTTTTTCCAAAACAAATCTATTGGTACTCATAAAGTCCTACCAAACCTACTCAGAGCAGAATTTACGGCATTCTCTCCTTTTCCAGAAACTGCATTCCCGTACCAGGGGTGTGCAGATACAATTTGCAAAACGTGACAGACGACTAGCACCAAAATACCTCTCCTTACCCACCTTCAGTCTTGTTGCAGCGCTATTTATGTATTTATATTCATAGCTATTTATATTCGATCCTGTCCTGCTTCTTAAATGTCTCCCTCCCCCTCACCTCCCCGGCCGAGTGAGCGCAGGGGAGGCCGCTTGTTCCCGCCGTCGATCGGATCCCGCCGGAACGGGGCCGGGGGTCTCAGAGCAGCACCAGCATCCCCAGCCCCGCTGCCGGAGCACCTCACCCGCGGAAGGCAGGAGCGGCCGCAGGCTGCTCCCGCTGCTCCGCGCCCGCCATGGCAGGCTGTGCCCTCCCGGGATGCGCCGGCGGTTCCCGCGGCTCTCACCGCGCTGCGGAACGACAGCGACCGGACGGCAGCTCGCTAATTAACGGAGCACTTCCGCGCGTCTCCCGCCTTGCCCTCCTTCCCTTTCCTTACTTTCCCTTGCCCCTCCTGCCCCCCGGCCCCGCCACTCCCCTACCCGTTACCTGCCTCCGCCGCCACCGGCAACTCCGGGCAGGGCGGCGGCGTCAGGTGCGCAGTACGCAGGCGCGCACAGGCGGCTCGCTTTGATTGACGAGTGACGGGCGGTGGTTCGCGCATGCGCCGTCAGCGAGGGAGCGCAGGCGGCCACCGGCCCTGCCGCGGGGCGGCTGTGGGGGGCCGTGGGCTGCCCGGGTGGGTCTGTGCTGCAGATGTGGGCTGTGGAGTGCCCGCACGTAGATCCCTCCTCCGCCAGCCACAGCGCCGAGCCTGCCTTCACAACCCCGCCCGACAGCCCCCCTGCTCCCTCCAGCCCCTGCAGCGGCCTCGGCTCCGGCTCCATCCCGCCCGACAGCCTCCAAGCCTTCCCCAGCCCTCGCGAGTCGCCCAGCATCCAGTGTGACAGCCTGGAGTGTCCCTGCTGCTGCTGCTGCAGGAGCCTGGGGTCGGTCGGCCTCTGCGAGGACAGCCTGCAGGCCCCTCTCGCCGCCTGTGACCGCCGAGGGTACCTCGGGGCACGCCACCGCAACCCCCTGGCATCCAGCGACCTCTCCGACAGCCTGGAGTCCTTGGAGTCCTTCGGTGTCCAGCACGACAGCCTCCAGTCGGTCTCCAGCCTGCGTGAGAGCTTCGGGTCCTCCAGCATCAACAGTGATAGCCTTGAATCCCTTTCCAGCCTGAGCAACGGGTCCACCGGCCAGCACAGCAGCCTGGAGTTTAACAGCCAGTGAGACTGCCTTTATCTCTCCATACAGTGCGCTAGCCTCTGATTCACTTCCAGGTACTGTGAGAGCTTCCAGGTCTCAGCCCTTCATTCAGAAGGCTACGTTGTTCCCATTGATTCTTGCTGCATCTAGTGCAATAACCTCAAATACTCGCTGTCCGTGGCTGCCATTCCCAACTTACTTGCTTCAGAGAGGCAGTGCTTATTATTACCTGCAGTGTTAACACGGATTTTTTTTTTGTCATTTGGTAAGAATGGAGGTAGGTGGTCCTCGGAGGAATCCCAGCTACCTTTCTGATCTCTATCAGAACATGTTACGGGCTGAAGAAGCACGGGGACAAAGGCAGCAGCAGCCCCCCGCAGCGCATACAAGTAGCAGCATGACTCTTGGCAGCAGCACTCCAGCTAAGGAGGGCCCCCAGCCAAATAAGCTTCAGAGCAGCACTTCCTCCAGCTGTGATCCAGCATTACGGCCTATCATACGCCGCCGAGCAAGGTCTTTGCCTACATCATCTGAACGAAGGAGGCAAGCAGCAGTGCAGTGTCAAGTTCCAGGGTGCCAGAGTCGTATGAACCGGGTGAGATTTGCCGATGCTTTGGGCTTGGAGCTCACTGAAGTGAAAGTCTTCCAAACTGGGGAGGATCCATCAATCCCCTTGCATGTCCTTTCCAGGCTCTCAATAAACTCAGATCTCTGGTACAGCAGCTTGGACTTGGAATTTACTATGCAGTGCTTGGTCCCTGACTTCCAGCAGCCTGCAGACTGTATGGATTTCTCCTCTCGACTTCAGGAGCAGCAGGTGTGTCTTGAACGAGTGACCAGCTCAGATTTGGGGCTCAGTGGCACCATCCAGGTTCTCAATGTTGCTTTTGAGAAGCAGGTATCTGTGCGATACACCTTCAACCAGTGGAAAAGCCTCCATGAAGTGTGTGCTCATTGGCACAGTAGCATCCCTGAGAAAAATGGGCAGGATCAGGTTGATGTTTTCACTTTCTTTCTCCCTGTGCCTCCTTTCCTCCTTCAGCTGTGTTCTGTTGTCCAGTTTGCGGCAAGGTACCAAGTCAGTGGCCAGGAGTACTGGGATAACAACAGAGGCAAAAACTACAGTCTTACCTGCCGGACTCACCCCCTTAAGATGCCTAGAGAATGCGAGGAGAGCTGGATCCACTTTATCTGAACAAGCGAAGTGGATGCAGAGCAGCTTGTCAGTAGTCTCAGTGGCACTCTCTTCCTTGGCATGGCTCTCTGCTCCTATGGCAACAGTCTCCTTTTTGAAACCTGCCAAACCTGGCGAAGTGTTCCAGGGCTGGAAAGTGGCCAATGACCCACACTAACCATTCAAAACCTTTCAAAGTAGTAAGAGCCAAAATGTGTATTGAGTTACATCAGTTGAAAGCCCGTGTGATTTCTTGTAGCATATGAGTCGTTGCAGAATGGTTGCAAGAAATATCGTCAGGCTACTAGAGCACAAGAAGACACTCCATGTTGCTAGTAATATTCTGGGTTGCATAAAATATTTGTAACCGATCTATTTTACCATTTTGTACTGCTTGTTTTCTAAATGGACAGTGTGGCTTTACTGGTTTTGTTTCTAACTTTGTTTATATTATCTCACCAAGTCTGGGCACTGTTCCATTTATGCGTAATTTGGATGGCAGACACTGTAGGGAGTATGTGTGTTTATATATATATTTTTAAGAGTGTAACCACATTAAATATTTCCATTAATATTTGGGTTGGCATTACGAGCAGAACATACATGAAAATGTGCTATCAGCCCCTCTGTTTCCCTTAAGAAAAGGCACCATTTTTTTTTAATCTCCAGTGTTTGCAGTAGGCAGCAGGAATGATTGTAACGAAAGTATGTGCAAGGGGGAAGTTCTCATCTTTTTCAGGTGATGCACAAGTAGGCTTTTTCTCTAGATGGTGGTATAGGAATTGTCTTGTGCGCCTGTTTTTACTAAGGGAAACAAGCAATTTTGCACGTGTTGCAATTGCAGTTGAAGATCTTAAGGCACTATATGAATGCCAATGATCTTACCACTGTTACTGGTAACGTTTTTTTTTCATACATATATTCATAACTGCATGAAAAGTTCAGCTTTATTTGTGTAGCATAACTTTTCAAAACTGTCTGGCTGGATATATTAGAAGCGGTGCTTTTTAGGACTGTAGTATGAAAATCAGGCCACTTAGCTTATTTTGGATTGCTGCTTAGTCATCAAAATCACAAGTTGTTTTTAAAATCACCATTGTAAGCAACCCGCAGCCAAGTCTACTGTAGTCCAAAAAGTCTACTGAGTAATTCTGGAAGTGCAGAAAGCCTAGGAAAATTCATGTGTCTGGCACCTTAACGTTACTCCTTAGTTGTGACACCCATTTAGCAAAGCTAGGGTTTCAAGTGAAGAAGCTGCTTGCTTTCAAAGTCCTGCATGATGATTCTGTGAGCTGCTGAGCACCTCTTGCAGAGTGCTGAAACAACTCGATCCTATTTGAAATTGTTGCGAATTGACTGCGATGTTTGCTTTAACTTTGTATTGGAGCACTGTGAGGTTGAATGTTTAAGTTGAAATTGTTTTGAAGGAGTAGGTGAGGCGGAGGTGCAATTGCCAACTACAGAGTTGCCTGCTTTCAATCCACCTGGGTTACTTTCTGTATCTGGGTTAGAAGAGTCACCGTTGCCTATCTGGCAGCAGCTCTTGCCTCCTTGAAAAATCAGTGGAGGGAAGTCTAGTCTTCCTCGTATGACACAAAAAATTAGAGCTCTGTAAGAAGGGGCACTATCTCACTGTAAGGTATTTTGCCTCCTATGGTAGGCTTCATATGACTAAAATAAAATGCAATATAGGACATAATATATCTGAACTAGTCACCTCTACTCTTCATAGTGAATGGAGATGTTTTCGCTATAGTTGGCAGACTACCAGTGGTGTGACAGACTGTATCATCTTTGTTGAGTGCAGAGAGAACACTGCGAGACTAGTTCTGCCATACTGAAACTCTCAGCATTACTGCAGATTGTGCCAAATTATGCCAGAGTCCATAGACATTAGATGAGCTGAAACACCTTCAGTGACTGCAGAAAAATATTTCTTGGCATGAATTGAAATTGCATTAGCCTTACTTTTGTGAAACTTGCTCACTTAAGAAATTCCATTAAAGTTTATCCAGTATTGTTAAAGTCCATAGAAGCATCAGTGAAGGAGAAAATGAACACACACGCACACAAGCACTTGTACCGAATAAAAGGCCCTATTTTAAAGTATTGTTCTCCCCCCTCTTTTCCCCTCCCAATTTCCTGTATTTCTTCCATCACCAAAACCACTGAATTGCCTCTCAGCACACCATAAAAAAATCCCTCTTTTGGGGGACTAATACTTGACACAAGTTAACAATGGGTGTTGCTGGAGCCCAATGCAATATTTAGCTTACTGGCAGAAGGATGTTGTTGCCATCTACTGGGAGAGACTCGTGCAAGCAAACATCAAATTTGAGTGTTACTGCAGGCAGGGACAGATGATGTAAAGTTTAAAGGTTATCATCATGTATACCACAGTGTCAGAGAGAGGTGAGAAATTAATGTCTCAGCAATGTGAGCTTGGCTTGTATTGTCTTCCTTCCTCAACCTCTCAGGGTATTTGCATGTGCAAAATCTTGAAAGCTAAAGTATAATTCCAAGTTTGCCTTTTCTCTCTTTGCTTGTCTTGCTCTGCTGGAGAAGAATTGACAGTAGCTGTTACTAAACAGTTGTCTGGCATTGCTGACTGGGAGTTGACATTATAATGGAACTGAGAGTGATCTCGGAGTTAAGCTGCTAAACATTCACACAAGTACTGGCACCTGTCACATGAAAGATGAAATTTGCATGTATGTTTTCCTGGCACATTCAGTAGTGAACATCAAAATGATTCTAGTTGACAAAAAAGGGATTAAGCCATTAAGTAGTGGTAATACTCACCTGTCATGAAGGTAAACTTACGTCACCTTTATAAATTCTCAGGACAACTTGACTTTCACTGTGTTCAAATTAAGCACTTCCTTATAATGAGGATTTTTGTAAAAGTGAATTTTTCGTAAGGGTTATTGCCATATAACGCACTTTTAAAAACCTGTATTTATTATATGATAAATGGATGTCTAGTAGTTCACAGTTTCAAGGTTCTTTCAAGCATGTTTTTTAAAGAAGTATATGAAATCTATGTAAATGAAAAGGGGTTGTCTTTCCTGATTAAGCATCTTGTCCAGAATAAAGTACATTACACAGTATATCACTAAAGCACAAATGCTAGACAAAAGGTCATTTTGTTTTAGTGGATAGCTGTACAATTCTAAAGTACTTAACTTTAAAAACAATAATAAAACTATGGCTATTGTAATACAAAAAATTGGAATAAAAGCTTTTCACAATTTTATGTTGTTTTTGTCGATGGTACTCCTGTTAACAGTTAAGAAAACTCAGGAGGCAACTTACTGACGAGTTGTCACTTAAAGAGCAACATACTCAGGAGAATAAGGTGGATTTGAGTTGCTAAAAAATGAACAGCACTTGATAAAAATGCAGTGATTTGTCTATATATCTGCAAAAATGACCAGGCTGCCACTTCTTACATGGAATTGACTCATTTCACCTCAGAGTTCTGTGCATGCAGGATTAAGATCTAATGTTGGAAAAAGGCACGCTGCCAGTTGATTCTAATACGGTTTCATGAAAAAGAAAAGGGGTTTTTCTTCTAATAGCACTTTGCAAAGTTGTGCTAAACTGTACTTAACACATTAATTTCTGAGCCTCACAGTTGTTATTTCCTCCATTTTGTCTTTCAGTTTTTATTGCTGCAGTCTTTCCTCTCAAACCATGTTCTTTTCACTGTCTGGTTTCTTGAAAATATATCTACACGTAGTATGTTAAGAGTGTCCATCTCCTCAGTAACTGATTTATCCTCTATATGAAAAGCATCTCCATCAGTGTCAAGAATTTACTTAATACAGTTCAAGATTTAAATAATCTGTTGCCAGGTTTCTTCTAAAGCAAAATGGAAACATTTAAATAGAAGACATAATTAACAAAGACTTATATTACCAGTTACTTTTTAATCAGTGTTAATAACTTCAACACTGCATTGTCAAAGTTGCTTGGAGGAAAGATGATTATTGCAAATTACAGTTTAAATACATGGGAATGTCTGTATTATGTGAAGTTGTTTAAGAATGTCAATGTCACTTTTTATTACAAAGTATACAGATTATGTGATATAAATATATGCATATAGATGCATAAGGGGGGTGCTTTTAGAAAGCATGATATTATAATATCTTTATTACTCTTATTTTTCCATTTTCCTATACTACTGATCTGAATCAGAACTAGCAGTACCACCTGAATTGTCATAACTTTACCCACTGAAATAGAGTATTAAGCATCACCTTGAAATAAATATGGAACTGGTGTAGACTAGCCAGGAGACTAGCAAAGGATAAAGCTAGTGGTCTTTAACAAGTCACTTGAAAACTATATGAATGTGTTTTAGCCTCAGGGGTGGGGATGTGTGTAAGAGTATTTAAGAGAAAGACCAGTTTTTTCTGTGAAGGTCCAACCATTAGGTTTATCTTACAGGTTGTGTTATTTTTACATTTAGTTTCAAATTCATAGTTCCTTTGTATTTATCTTACAAAGAAAAAATGTAATTCCAGCTTATAGTAATAGTAACATTCTAACAGTCAGTTTTAATGACAGTACTTAATTTACTGTATCATCAGTGCTCAATGCAATGTTTTATGTACTCTGCAGCATTACCTGGTAAAGACCTAGAGCAGCAAGTCTAAACGATTAGTCACTTGTCAATGTGAGTCTAATGTTAGTACTGACTTCTCTCCTGATTTGGCTTTCTCCTTATGATCTCAGTTCTGCAACTATTTCAGCTGACGCTTGATATTAAAACTGTTGACATCAATGCTTCTGACCATTCTCAGTTCTACATGCAGTGGCAGCTGTGCCAAACATTGATTATATTGACCAGAACAGTGTTTTCCAGTACCTGTAATGAAGGTGTTTCTGCTTGTGTAGTGAAGAAAGGTGCCTGTACTATCTACGCTACCGTAAAGTCAGTTCGGCTTCCAATTTCGTCGAAATACTTAAATGTACTCACCATATCTGTGGTCCAAATAATACCACTGTTTGTTCTGGTCTGTTCAATGCATAATTTAACGAAAATTCTGCTTGCTTTTGACATCTCTTCTGCTAACCCAAACAAAATAGACATTAGAGAATGAGAAATGAACATACAGTAGTCTCCCAGTCATGTCAGTGTACCTAGTGCAGGAGGAAAAGTGTATGATCCACTTCTCCTGTACTCTGACTCACTTTTCTTTTGCTATAGAATGAGTAAGGCTGTTTTCTTTACAAGATCTGAAAATCTGTGGATAGTCTAAGGCTGTGTATACACTAATGTGGTAAGGGAAAGTGGCAAATGCAAATTGGCTTTTATTACTTCTGCTTCATGAAAGTAGAATTCAGAATTCAGTTTTTATAGAAAACTTCTGATGCTCAAAGTTCCTCATGCAAAATTTTGTCACTAATACGTTTCTCAGTAGCTGTACTTCTGCAGGTCTGCCTCAGATCACCCATTGCCTCCTAATAAACTATCCCAACAGCAAATGTGACAGCCGTTAATGCTGCAGTTAGTCCCTTCTAGCTGAACATGCCTCCTGCAAAATGCTCACTCAGCACTACTCACTCCTATGGGATCAACTCCTCTGGACATACTCCAATGATCATATTACTTGTCGTTTTTTTGAATTACAGTGACACCTGGTGGTATTTTATATACTTTCTGTACAGCTTTTTTGCCTTTTATAGTATTGATTTGTCTTCTTATTTTAGGTCAGTGGTGCTATTTTATTTACAATTGCTGCAGATTTATCTACTCTGAAAGGCGATTCTTCTAGATGCTTCACTACTGCTGCTTATTCTAGGTTTGAATGCATATGCTTCCTGATACTTCACTGGAATATATAAGATTCATGCTAAATTTTATCTTCTGTATTTGTGTTATGGGTCATAGGATACACCAGTCTCACACCAGTACAGGTAAAGCTCCACTTTGGAACTGTTGGATTTCATTTAAACATGTTACCCAGTTCTTTCTGTATAATAAAGACCACAAGTGTTAGTAGAAGCCCTTTGTTAACAATAGGTCTGTATCTGAGTTTCTGTATCTATTCTACCTAGTCGGGTACTTGATAGTAGTGAAAACGTTCCTGAATAAGCATACAAATGAATTACACTGGTTCCGCAAACTCACTCCCAGTAACTTCTGTCCACGCTATGCACTGAGATTAGTGTTCTAGTGGTTCTCAATAAAGACAGTTGGTAATATAAAACAAGTAGAACAGCTGAGGTTCTGTGTGCGCAGCCGCAGTCCTTTGACAACGTGACGCTCTTAGACGTTAACAAACCCCCTCCACATCCCTCTTCGTCCCCGACGCAAGAAGCGGCTTCGCTCTCCTGGGGCAGTCGCGCCGCCCCAGCTCCTTGACTGCGGCGGCTCCTACTGCAGGAAACATCCGGCCAGCGACGGGCGAGCGCGGACACCAGGCCGCCAGCACCGCTCGGCGGGGGGGGGGGGGGGTTGTCTATAGCTTTTGGGGCGGGTGGGAGTGGCGGGGCCGGCAGCAGGTCCCGCTGAGGTACCGGCCGAGTGAGGGGGGAGCGGGAGCCGCTACGCGAGGTTGTCTCGCGGTAAGGCGGCTCCTCTTTCCCGCCCCGCACCTCCGACGGCGATTGGTCTGCATGCCGCGCTCGCGAGCGGTGATTGGCTGAAGGCTACCTGCGCGGGGAGTGATTGGCCGGCGGGGGGCGGTGCTTTTCTCGGCTGCGGCGGTGAGGCGAGGCGTGGTGAGGCGAGGGTTGTCATGGCGGGGGGTGCTGCAGTGCTGAGGAGGAGGAGGAGGAGGAGGAAGGGGACGCCGTAGGATGGTTTCCTCTCAGTAACAGAGTTCTTGGGGGAGATGTCACACTGACTATGTGTTTGGAGGGCAGAGGTATCACCCCGTTGTCGAGAAGGAGACACCTGGAAGGGCTTTATATTTTCTTCTCTGGCTTGTCTGGTTAGTCAGGAGATCTGTGAGGTGATTGCAAAGGCGTCAGTTTAGGCTGTTGCATTGTTGTATTGGAAAAAAAAATCAAGCCCCACTGTTATTTCTGTATTACTTAAAAGTACAGAAATTAGTAGTGTGTGGTCCCAGATACTTGTTCTACAGAAGTTTTTCCCTATTTTTGATTGTCACTTCCCTTTGCTTTGTCTAGTTATGTATCATTTCTGGGACGGGGAGACCAAAACTGAAAGTGGTAGATTGGTTAATGTAGATTATATACAAAGCATGAACAAGCTTGTTGGGTTTTTACATGTTAACTCTCAAAATACTTGTCTGTTTTTGAGTATTAAGACAATGTTTCCAGAAGACTATCGTTCAGTGATCTGGCTTTTTGGTGGTATTAGTCATCTGGGAGCCCATCACTGTATGTATAATTAAGGCTTTTTCCCTGTATGCATTTATCACGTTTTTCTTATTTAATCTGCCATTTTATAATGAGGCCCTTCTGGAGTTCTACTGCTGACTTACTCTGAATAACCCACTGTTGACAGTATAACTGGACATCTTCATGCTCTTTTATTGCTGAGAAATACTGAGTCTGCTATGTTCCTCTATTGCCTAAGTTGATCATTCCAACCACTCTTATTTTAAGCAATTGTTTATCCATATAATAATGTTTCCTTACATCCCCAGTTAGTTTAATTTCTTAAATAGAATCTATACTAGTGATGAAGTTTGGAATGTGTAATGTATTTTGACAGATTGCTGATACGTTTGCAAAACCACCAGTGAATTCTGTTTTGATCAAGTGACAGTTGTTCCCTTCTTATGCAGCTGAGTAGATGAACTGCAAAAATGGCAGCCAGGAATGAGATGCAGGTATGTATTTATGGACCAGAATGCAAGTATCGATTGTGTTAATTAGTAGCTTAAAGCACTCCTCCTGGTATTTAATTGCAAGTAAAATTTGCAGTGTGGCAAAGAATGTGGTAGGGAGAAGTTTTCCTTTAATGTAGGTTAATGCTGAGTAGCTGGGTAGAAAGCAAGAAGAATTTGAAATTGTTACTGATGAAAATAAATCATACGCGTTTAACATACATGAATTAATTGGGATGATATTGAAGATCAAAATACTGAAATCTGGTTATAATGGATTTAGAAAGAATCAAGTGGCAAAATAGTTGAGGAAGGCAGTAGTCCTCAAATATCTTAATATCTTTTTAAGTCATTAATAGATAACGTAGAAATAAAAAATATTAAATATACTAAGGAAGGGATATTAACACAATGGCCACATGAAAGAAAAAAAATTTAAGGAAAACTGGCAAATAATTAAAAACTCAGTGACTAAGTGTTGCATGATTATTAGATACGGTGTTCTGCGCTTCAGGTTTTACATTTAATGATTTTATGATTCGGAGTGTTTGCTTAGAATACAACAGATGATTGTGTAAAACTTGTGCTAAGTCAGTATCAATAGTAAGAACACAGTAATACAGTTGCTCTGTTTTACTGTTGACAGTTTGAAAAGTTAATTGATGAAGTTACAAGAAAAAAAGATTTCCAATTCTTGGAACGATTTCTGGCAACAGAAGACTGTGAAAATGTCTCTCACAAATGCAGCAAACAGTTTGTCAACAAATTAGACAAGCTTCTGTGTCGGGTAATGTAATCATTACATCAGAATCATCTATACTCTCATTGTAATAGTCTGAAAAAGACTTTATCATTTGCTTTGGTTTATACCAGCAGTTGATTTGAAAAACTGCAATAAGATTTAAGAATGAAATCTTTCCTTCAGGCTGTAATTAAGGTAGCTTTTGAGAAGAAAAGGACATCTGGTTAATTAAATGCACATTCTTCTAGAACTGTATGCTTAAACCTTGTGTTGTAATTTCAATTTCAGGAACTGGACAAACAAGAAATCAAAAGCATTTCCATTTTACTAAACTCTATTGAGAAATGTGGGAAAAAAATCAGCATAGCAGGAGAAGATGGGCTCCTAGCAATGATAAAATACGGTCTTATTGGAAGGATAAGTAAAACCATAAAGCATACATGAACTTCTGTAAAAAAAAAAAATAAACATTAATAAAGCATGCATAAGTAATACTTAAGTGCTGAACAGTTTAGTGTTCAATTTGGTCCTTGATTGTTTCTGAATAATTTATTATAACTGTGCAACAAACATTATTCAGATTTAAATGTTCTTTGACAAGTGGTTTCTTATAAATTGATGCTGCTCTAATACAGTGGAGGTTTTGCAAATTATGCAGTATATAATTAGATAAGCTTACAGCAATTACAATAAGACTATCTTTTTATATAAAAACCTTGCTCTACTGCTTTTGAGTCAGGAATTGGAATTTTCTGATCCAATTTACTAATTTTTTTGTTAATACTTGCAACGGCAATATTGTACCTGTTCTTTCAACAGATTATAGTGGTATTCTGATTATTTTGTGGTTATTTCAACCTACGTGAACACATTAATCATTTGTAACGCAACATAATGAATATACTGAAAAATAGACACTACTTCCTTATTGCTTTCACCAGAGATTTCACTGAAGAATATTAATGGCAAGGTCAGATGAGTGTTACTCAATTGCCTTCTCAACTGCATTAACGAAGGAAAAAAAAAAGTGTGGCAATACCTTCATGCTTATATTCACACATACAAATGCTCTTTTTTCATTCAGCCATTACCCATTTTTAGTTCTTTGTCTGTGATAGCAGATGTAGAAGTAGATCTATATATTTTTGTTAGAAAGTCAGCTACAGAAATTATTTAAGCTAGTTTGAAATAACCTACATTTGTTTAGTGTGACTAAAACAGTTCAGTCTGGTGCTAAAGTATGCTCAACAGACTGGTAACATTGCTGTTCTAATCTTTGTGTAGTCTCTATAATTTTACTTAAGTATAATACAAACTAATGTCTTTTTTCATGCTACTAAAATAGATTTTCTTTTATTTTCCCTTTACATGGTTAATTGGTTTGAAAAGGTAAAAGGAATTTTGATCCTCAGTGGAAATGAAAAGAATGAAATGCTTATAAGTCTGGCTGAAGATTTCTTCAACGTGTTGCTGGTAATATACTGATAATAAAATACATTGTGTGTATTTGTCAAAATAATTTTTACTAGTTTAACAACAAAAAGAGTTTCAAATGTATTTCTATTTAATGTCCTTCCAAATTTGATGTTACAGTGGTTTCTGAAATACAATTCTTTTTGCATAAGTAGTTTGCTTGTATTAATACTAGTTTTCTGTTCACGACTAGCATGAAGTAAAATTTAAAAAACCCAACAACATACGTGTTCAATGAACAAAAAAATTTCATCTTGGTCTAATGTTGATTACATAAATTATTGGTATGTTAATCCCAGGACCCCAAGTGTTTTCTTCTGTTCATAAAAAAGTTTGTCATTGGGGAAATAATTTCCATAAATTTAACCGAAATACAATTTTGGGAAACCACACTTGGTATTGGAAGTTGTTACTTATGTTCCTCATTAAGGATTAAATGACTAAAATCTTAAATGCTTTTTATTACGTTTATGCTGTAATATTTACAGTGTCAAAATGATGTCTTTTGTTTTCTTTTGTAGGCTATATGTGATAGCAGAGCTGAAGGTGAGCTTAAAAAAAGTGTACAATAGATATGATAGCTAAAATGTTCATAAGGAGACATTTTAAAGTTATCAGTGTTAAAATAGCTCTTAATACTTGTGGAGCCATCTTGAGGCAATGTGGTTCTGAGAAGAGCATGTATAATAAGGGTGGTACAAAGTTTCTTGGTATAATGTAAATACACCACCAGATCTATATGATTCGGCTAATAAACTGTAGCAGAAAAGGGCTTATCCTCAAGAGGGCTGTCCTGCACACAAATGACACTTCTCATTCATGTGAAAAAAATCTTGGATGTCAACTTTAATTTTGATTGTTTAATTTGAAGTTTTTCTGCTGACAGATTTCCTTGTAACTTCTGATGTCAGTAATAAAAAAGTAGGATAGTTAGTCTCCTCAGGGATGGCAACTGAACTGAGTTTTTACTAAAAAGAATGTTGTTTCTAAGCTACTGTCATAGCTCAGCATAGCACAGTAGTCCTTTATTGACCTTGTTATCATAAGTATCACACTGCTCTTACCTTTCAGTATAGCACTAGGTAGAAAGTCAATACAGAATATTATGCTGTCACAATCAAAATGAAAGATTCATTTCCTCGTCCCTGGGAAGATAAATTCCAGGGTCTGAGTTACATCTCAGCTAAGTTATAGAATTGATCTGATTATATTTTTAAAATAATGATCTCATGCCCAGGGCATTTAGGCAGTGATGCACAGGAATAGAAACATCATAAAGAGCCATATTTACTATAAGTACTATTCTGTTTTGCATTTAACCATGATGCTTAAGATGTTGGTTTTTTTTTTTTTTTAAATATCAGTGACCCTGTATGGAAAGGAAGGCATACTATGTTTTATTTCTAAATGAAAATGGATCTTTTTCTAAATGCTGATGAGGGGCAACCTAATACACTCTTGATAACTCTTAATTTATTTTTTTCCTGTTCATTAGGTAAAATTAAAATACTAGAAAACTTTCTTCTGAGAACATGTACCCTCATCGCTGATGTAAGAATTAATATTTATGTTCAGCATGAGGTAAACATTCATCTTTCTAAGCAACAGTTTTCTGGTTAGTGTTTTAACAGACTTTGTGAAGATAGTAATTTTACTGTACAGATGCCCCCCCCAAAAGAAAATATTGTAATGCTCTAGTAGCAGAGGGATTATTTAATGTTTCTCTGGGAACGTTTGTTGTTATTTATATGTTGGGGTGACTTCTTTTTATTTTGTTCGTTTTTTTTCAGGTTACTGACCTATAATTTTTGTTTTGAACATTACGTTACAAAACAGTGGTATTAAGATTCTGGGGAGAAAGCTGTATAAAATCATCGGAAGTATTATGCCATATTACAACTGCTATAAAGAGAATTAAGATTGTTAGTTGTAAATTCTTTAGATACTTGCAGGAAGCTTGTATACCTTCTAGTATACTGCAAATTTCTCCTATCTGATTTAGTAATGATTTAGTGTCAGATGTTTTTTCCTCTCTAAAGAAAGGGAAAGTTACAAAAAAGTCATCTGTGAAAACTACATCCTCAAAGGAAAGGTTTCTCAGTGCAAATTTTAAGGTACCCTTTAGCTCAGCAATCAACTGCAGACAAAACTCTAGCTTTGACAGGTTTTTTTTTTCTATAATTTAAACCTGTAAATAAGAAGCATAACCCTTTAACAACTGATGTTCACATTAAAGCTGATGTAGTTTATTGAAATTGAGGTGGTTACATTAAGATAAATACCATTTAAGGTCAGATAGAACTCATTGTCTTTTCTTGTTTTGAAATTATTTAAGCATGTTATTTTCTTCAGTAGTATGAAATACATTACAAGGGCCCAAAGTAAGAATAACTTAAACTTTCACAATTTATTTTGTGCTTAATCTTACTCCCTTTTTTACACTCTTAGGTAGTAAGAAAACTTAATTTAATGCTAGACAACGCGCCTCGAGATGCCAGAAAAAAGCTATTTTCTACAAAGGAAATGTTGCTTGTCATGTAAATAATCTTCAATATAATTTTTATATCATTACATCATATGCATAGCTGGGAAGGCAATTTTTACTAAGGCTGTTTATAATGCATGCAAATTGGTCCCTGTTTAACTCAGTTTTGCATTTGCTATTTTGCTGCCCATAGTGTTGGCGGTGGGCATGTTTTCTCTATTCTCCATTACAAGCCTAAATTTACCTCTTCCAATCTGGGTTAAGCTTGTTCTCATCACAGTTGTCTTAAAACAAATAAATGCTTCTTTATAAGAATGTGTATTAAGCACAGTGAATCAGTCACTGGAAGGACAAGCTGTTCATGTTGGGAAATTTTTTTACATCTTTTAAAAAATAAATAGAATAAAAATTATATGTATCAGATGATTCACTTCCCCAGTAGTACTTTCAAATGTATATCATTAGCATAACACACTCACCCTTTTGAAGTCTAGTAGTTCAGTGGAATCAGGGATTTGTCTCTTTGAAAGTTTGTAATTAAATCAATTTTTCTCCTATGCTTTATGTTGCCGTCATATTTGATTAAATGTTACTGTGTTTGGCAGGAGTGACATGGGGAGGAGGATTTTGGATGCTGGAGGTGAGCATGGGACTTAATAAACAATTTAGTATCGAGGTTCTTAAAAATTACGTGCAGACCCATTAAAAATCCAGAGAAGACATTTAGAAGCTGCAGGATGTTGCAGTTACAGTCCTCTGAAAAATACAAATACTGCATGAAAGCAATCTGCAAACTGGAGTGTTTCAGATGTATGCAGTGTACGGCAAACTCTTGGAAGTTTTCAGCCCTCTTCTCTAGAACGTAGGTTTTAAAATAGCAGAAGCTCATAAGGAAGTCAGTCTTTGAGGATAGTGAACTGTTAGCCATGTTCGGTAGTACTGTAACTTCTCTCAGGGATCACTGGTATCCAATAGTTTCCTAGTTCAGACAGGTGAAAGCTAAAAACTTCTCCTGCTTATATGCCTAGTGTTGCTCTGACTTTCCTTGAAAGTTTGACTGAAATTTCATTTTGAAACGTTTTTTAGTCATCATTATTCCCTTAGTTCTTTATCTATATCCTTTAAGGGTTACATATATATATTATATAATGTGATATGTAGTATGGAATGTTCAGCAGTGCTTATACCAGTTTCCTACATAATAACATTTTTCTCACATCAGTAGTATCTTTAAAACTACTGTTCCTATAAAATGTATTGTGCTGTAGACTATGACCTCCAAGTAGCCATTACGGAAGCTTTATGCAGAATGATAGCAGAGAAACAAAGAGGACAACTGGCGTACCAGTGGTTTTCCATGGAGTTTGTGTCCAATGCATTTAAAGGAATTAAAGATTCTGAGTTTGAAACAGTAAGTCACATGAAAAATATTTTCAGGGACGTAAACTTACACTTTACAATTCTTTAACACATTTCTGTGTTTTAATAGGATTGCAGAAAATTTCTTAACCAAGTGAATGGCATGCTTGGAGACAAAAGAAGGTAAAACTGAATTTTTTAAAGATAATATATTTTCTTTTTTGGATTTTATGGCCATTTACTGGGAGTAACCTTTGTATCACAAAAACTGTTTTGGGGAAACTCTGAATTAAAATAATACAAGCAAATAAGACTAACATTGCTGTGGTATAAAGTCAAGGAACATAGCAGAGTTAAGATATTTTTAAAATATCAAAGAAATTGACTAATACCATCTTTTGGCACATTGTCACTGATATAATCTTCTCTGTCAAGATGTTAATTTTACGTAATTCCCATATTTGGAAAAAAGACAAACATAATGTACGTTTCATATTATTACCTAACAGCTTAAAGAAACTCTTTGCTAAATAAAGAACATTAATTTGAAAATAATCGTAAACAATATAAAGTATATGCTACACTTCCTTTAATACATGTTTACAAGGAACTAGTTTTTGTATTCTATTTAGTTCTGTTGCAAAATGCCAAGATGCTTGCTAATCCAATACAAACCATCTGACAATAGCTAGTAATTTGTTGGTGTAGTCCTTTATTTATTGATTTAGGATATTTACATTGAGATAATAATAAATGAGAATATCTGCTAGAGAAATAGGACATAAAAAGGAAGAGAAAATACGAGCTTTTTTCTTATCTATATGATCACATGCTCTGCATGTTACTTTTATGTCGTGACAGCAGAAATTGTCTAGTGTGTCTTTTTATCAGGTGTATATTCAATTTGAATACCATTCTTAAAATAGCAGCAGATAAGCCAGAAGTATGAATGTAGTGACAAGAGGTCTGAGACTGCTGCTTTAATTTTGAGGATGTATAAAATTTCATGTTCTGTGGGGAAGAAGTATGGTTAAGTGACTGCTTTTGTGATTGCTGTGATCTCTTAGTCTCTAAGACACATGAGTTTCGAGCTGACTGCAATCCAGTTGCTGTGTTCAAATACGTAAAATTTATTTACAGTGGTTTAGGATACTTGACAAAATATCCTTTTCTTACAGGGTTTTTACATATCCGTGTTTATCAGCAGCCCTTGATAAATATGAGGTATGTTACAGGCTTAATCATATATCCAGATTTTAATTTTGCAGCTGAATAATTTCCTTGCCTTTTAGTTAAGGAAAAATAAGGATTAGGTGAGAACATTTTTTTTTTTTTTTTTTTTTCAGTATATGTGCATGTATTTAAAGTTTGTCAAACTGTAACGTGAAGCCTGTTAGCTGGAATAAATCATTGCTCTCATCTCTTAGTCTTTTATCTTAATTTTTTTGTTATAGCTACAGATACCTTTGGATGAAAATCTTGAAGAATTTTGGGTTGATTTCAATGTTGGTAGCAGAAGTATATCTTTCTATGTGGCAGCAGATGATGCAGTAAGTTAATTTTTGTCTGTCACAGTAGATTGTTCTGAGGCAGTAGATGTGCATTCTTACAAGGGTGTCAGATTTGTTTCCACACATCAACATGTGGAAGTTAGGGGTGCATATAGTGTGGAGGGGAAAAGAAGAATTTAGATTTGGTGTACATATTTCGATTAAACAGTTTCAAAGTAATGACTTTCTAATACTGTTTGCGAGCAGTTTAACATATGCATTTGCAAAATTGCAGTTATTTTTGTAGATGAGACTCAACTGTTAGTTTAATGTCTCTACCAAAGCTCTTCCAAAACATCATTTGCTGTTGTCAGTAAAGCATATCTTCATTGTCACTCCTTGTAACAGAGGATTTACAAAGTTGAAAATTTGTCCTCACTGAATAACTTTCTAAATACTGCACTTAATTTAATTGTAATATAAGGCTTTTCTAGCTTTAAAAATATATATTTTTCACATAAGGATCATCAGTGGGAAACAGTCATTATACCAGAAGAAGAGGTAGACCTGTACAGCCTCGAAGGTATTGGCACTCACAAATGTGACCTTTTACACTAACTTGGTTTTTCAAATCTGTTAATCCTAAAGTATTGACTCAATTTTCAGCAAAGCAAGATTCCCACTTAAAATGTTACAGGTTCTGTTTTGATTAGAGATGAAATTGCATTGCAGTCACATTTGCATTTGAGGCATGCTGGTGTGATTTTTATTAAAATAACTTTAAAATAAAGTCTTAGTGCAAAATAAGGCATAAGACAATGACATAGTGTTCCTTTGAAACTAGTTAGATGTTTACAAAACTATAATTTGTCTGTAGCTATAGTAAATAACCTTCAAATAAAATTTTACAGTATATTATGAAGAATAAGTATTTCTAAAAGATTGAGTCTCGACTTATTTCACTAATTTATTGTAAGTTAGAGTGAATTAAAAAGAATATATATCTTAATAGCCAAACTGAAGAATACAAGTAAGTTTCATGTCTTTACAAACACCATGAGTTGTTAAGTTGTAATGAAACTAATTTTCAAATTTTTTTTTTATCCAGAAAAAGAATCAAAGAAATTATTAACAATCGATCTAAAAAGCCCAATGAGTGTGGGTAATCAAGAAGGAGAGAAATTTTTTTTATATTTTGATTCTATCTTGGAAATCAGAGATGTTACCAGAAAGATTTATGGATTTAGTAAATGTAAGGTAAGATTTAAACACCTTTTCAAATAGTTTTTTAATTGATTCAAAATAAAAGTCTCATTGCCATGTAAATATTGTTCTAGCTGTGATTATTGGTGTCTATTTACATCAAGAGTTTCTGATTACAGAAAAATATTTCTCCCATAATATGTTAAGCTTTGATAAAGATGCCTAATAAAGACAAGAGGAAACAGCCTCAAGTTACGCCAGGGGACGTTTAGATTGGATATTAGCTGAAATTTCTTCACGGAAAGGGTTGTCAAACATTGGGGCAGGCTGCCCAAGGAGGTGGTTGGGTCACCATAGCTTAATGTCAAGCTTTGCATATATAATTTTCCAGAAACAGAAGAACTGGATGCTTACAAATGCGGAAGTATTTCAGAAATTATTCATTAGCTGTCCCATTTTTCAGTATGTTTACTACTCAGGAATTTACTCATATAGTAAAACAATTGTAGCAAGCCATAGCTTACCCCTTACTGCTTGTAACAAACTACTTTTCCCTGAATTCTGACTGAGAAGCTCATGAGGAATGGAAGTATGAGACTGTAGAATCTATTTTTGCCCTGTAACATGATTTCAGACACTTACCATCTCTGGCTTGAGTATTTTCTTTTTGTTTTTTTTTTTTTTTTGTTTAATAAAAGTGAACAAAGCGTATATTTTACATAAACAGTTACTCACTTTGTAGGGCTTTCAAAAGAAGCAGTCTGCATCAGTTGCCAAAACAACTGTACATGTCGTCTTTGATGAAAGTGGATCACAGGTATTTTACCTCAGTATGCTGGATGGTGGTTTTCTTAGATTTTATATTTGGTCTGATTATTAGCTAATTTATGATCATTTACCAAGAAACAAGGAATTTTAAAATGCCAGTAAGTAAAGAGAACTCTAAAACTAGTAACTGGTTAAGTGATTTATAGGAAGCATGTATTGTATATTTTGGGAGATATTAATATCCAAATCATAGAATACTTCAGACAAATATACGCAGAAGTTTTTATGTGAATTGTGATTTGGTAATCCATCCTTGTTAGCAAAAATAACAAGTTGGATGCTTTCCAAACTAGAAGTATGGAAGTGCTGAAGTGTATCAAAAAATACACTGAGGAAGGTGTTATTTAAGGTAAAGAAGTTGCTTTGCTTGTGTTTCTATAAATAAAAAATATGAAACATAATAAAATACAAATGTTGTATAAAATTTTTGAAAATAGAAAATATTATATAGGTTCTGGTACCAGAAAGTCAGTTGTCACCATGTTTGGAAGAAAGATCTGAAGAAATGGAGAAACTCAGGAAGTACAAAACCCAGCAACTTCCTGGAACTTTGAGGACTTTGAACAAAAATAACAATCAAGAAAAATGCAGAGGTGGTTCCTCCAAGGTAAGTAGGATTATCAAAACAGAAAAGAACTCATCAAAAATATGTCAGTTTAAATATTCATCATATTTTATAATATTAAACCCCTGTTATTTATGGGGTTTTAATAAAATTGATTGCTTTTTCTTATGACTTGAGACTGAGCTATATGAATCCCTTTGCAAAAAGAAATTCTCATTGTTATGTATTTTGAAACTATAATAATGGGACAAAACCAAAATGCAGTTATTAAAATTCTTTATTATGCTCTGAGAATGCTCTTTAAAGTGAAATGTTTTCGAGGCATGCTTCGATCTCTTATGGTATGTGAAAGTCTAGTATAGCCTCTGGAGCCTTACTAACGATCAGCAATAGTAATAGCTGTATTTAGAGACAAGTCCTATAGGCTTGGCATTCACAAAGACTGTGAATTATGATTACAAAAAATCATGTGGTTGTCAAGAGGAATCCAGTATCATGGCTATTCAAATAACAGTTCCATGGGACTGCTCCTAGGCATAACTGATTCTCTGGTTTTAACTGAGAGGAGCCCAGTTCATTAAGCCTGGTGTTTCTTCTGCACCACAAGCACTCAGAAGTTATAAAAGTGTGATGGTTATACTGGGAATAACTACAGATATGCTAGGGATGGGGGAAAAGATGGAGCTGTGCCGCCATGTCTTCAGTGTGCAACAGGCATGCAGTGCATGTGTTGCTAGCAGTAGTCTAGTAAACATGTTCCTGAGGATCTGCTGGTTTATAGCTTATGTGATAGCTTTGCAGAAGCTCCTGGGAATTATCTTGGTTACTTTGATTGTTAACAAGCAACAGGATTTGTTCATACTTTCTTGAATTAATTTAGAAAACAACAATCACTGATCTCAGTTTAAAAACATTAGTTTTACATATAATTCAGGTATTTTGGTGAACTTTCTCTAAAAAGGCAACTGCATAAAAATCACATTACATTGATGCGTGCAGCAACATCATTCCAATAACATTGGATTCCAATAACATTCAAATAATAAAAAGTGTCAAAAGACTCTTGGAAATAGATTTTCTAAAATCTTGTGTTGTCATCCTTAAATCTGTGCATTATCACATAAAAATCACATTACATTGATGCGTGCAGCAACATCATTCCAATAACATTGGATTCCAATAACATTCAAATAATAAAAAGCGTCAAAAGACTCTTGGAAATAGATTTTCTAAAATCTTGTGTTGTCATCCTTAAATCTGTGCATTATGGTTAAGTTTTTTTCTGTTCTTCAAGGTAACTGCATCTTCTAAAAGGAAAGTGTCTGAAGCATCTGTGGCTATTCCTGGAACTACAAGATTTTCCACAAAGAGTCCACTGACGTTTGTTAGCATGTGTAAGTTTACAAGTACTTTCAGAGTAAAAATATGCTATAAATTGTCTTTGAAATACAAGCATGAACTGTGATCCTGTGCAGAGCTGGAAATGAAAAGTAGGCCTTGTAAAATCTCCCTATAAAGTGCTTTAAACTTGAAATTTTTAAGCTAGGCCACTTGCTACTGGTCCATAGGCATGATACAAGGTTGTAGCAGCACATGCATGCCAAACAGCTAAAGGCCTGTATAAAAATATATTACAATAAAATCTTTAGGTGACCAACTGTTTCCTACCAGAGCCAATCTGTAAAAAGCATTACTTGCCTCCAGACATCCACAGTCTATGGGCTCATTAACCTCCACGTAACTTAATTGAAATCACTAAAATTATAAAAGGTATATAATAAGTTTTGATATGAATACTAGACAACTTTTTTTAAGTTTATGGAATAGATGTGATCATGGGCAAAACTCTCTATACTGATGTCACAGACAGCACAGTAATTGTAATAGAAGAAATGGTAGAACTCTAATGTCACTGGTTTGTTTTCAGCCACGCCTTGTAAAGGACGATTTAAATTACCTTTGGAAATGATGAGCTCTTCTGAAAAGTCTAACAATAATGTAGTAAATGAGACCAGAACAAAGAACCTCTATCAAGGACCTACTGGAGTATGCACATCATCTGTAGCTAAGTCTTTTACTTATAATAACATTAATTCCTATTCTAATTTGTTCCTAATTCATATTTTAAACAGGTAGAGTTTTGCAGTCAGACACTCACTGTTAGAAAATAGTATGTTTTACTTTATTGCATGATGCTTTCTTGTCCTCTGGATTTCAGGTGTAATAAGTCTAAAACCAGACTGAACTCTTATAAAATTAGCTAAAATTAGCATTAACTTATCAGTTCTGATCCCAGAGTTAACTTGCTTTTATGAGAACCACTTTTCTTCCTTTGTGTATAATATGAGAACGATGTACACACAGAATCTCTAATTATGCAGTGTTGAAATACTCCTAAACATGTAATACATATGGCTATAGTCATGAAATGTTAATGTTCTTAGGATATAGCATGGTTTTAGTGTGTATTTGATTAGGCATTCACTAAAACCGAACAAAACTACATAGATGTCACTGAACTGCAGTTTTAAGTATTTTTGCTTCTGCTCCAGTCGAAAAAGACCTTGAAGTAACGTTTTTTCTGGTTCTAAATGTCTTTCTGACTCAGATTCAGGTCAAATCCCAAACTATGGGATTCTGAAGCATCTTTTAATATTGCCATGTCTTAAAAACACTTTAACATATAGAACATGTAGTTCAGAATATGTCAAGTGTTACTTTCTAGGATAGTTTTACTTCTTTTGCTTTTATGTATTACAATTGCCAGTGTTACTGTGCTTTTTAGAGTGGACGAAGATGTACACTAGACAATGAGTTTTCTGAAACAGAACAGATGATCAAGAAGCCAGATATCAGAAATGAGGCAAAAGTACCTGAAAAGGTACTGGAATCATCACTTCTATGAAATGAAAAAATATTTTATATTTTATTAGGGAAAATACAGATTTATGAGGTTATACTCTTTATAATTGTACACTAATATTTTCTTTTGGGTGTTATCTCACTTTAGCAAATGTGTGCTGACAAAATTTTAGAGATGTTAGAAGAGGCAGAAATTGAGGCCACACAAAAGCAAACTTTAGGCAAGTAATTTTACAAGTGTTGGTAGTCCTTACTTTTAAAATTACTCTAGTTTTGTCCATTTATTTGGTAATAATAATTGATATCAAATTAATGTCTCATTTAGATGAAGCGTTAGATATTGTTCCTGATTCTCAGCCACTAGGGAGAAGCAACAATCATTTGTAAGTATTGGAAAAGAATACCAAGTCACTGTTGTCACTCTCTTTGAGGGGAATATTTTCAAGTACTGCCAGAATTGAAATTTTGTTGCACAGTTTCAGAAGATGACAGAATTTAATTGTCTTGTCTTCCCTGGGAGTTGCATTAAGAACTGTTGGCTGTGTAAGACAGATCACTTTTATTCTGTAGTTTTATTTTTTTATTCTAAACTTATGCCACCAAACCAGCACTCTTAAGTGTATTTGCTAAGACTACTTCATGAACAATACTATTGTGTTATCTTAATCAAAGACTTTAAATTGGTGAATCTGATCATAAAAATAGTCCTCGTTAATAAGATTGGAGTAGGAGTTTAAGTAAGCTTTAGTAGTAGCAGGGAGAGTAATTCTTTCAGATGACATCAGAAGGTAAAATGCAAATGACATACGGATTTACATAAGTGAACTGTGCCATGAAAAGTAGTAGATTTGACACACCACAGAGTTATCTAGACTCAAGGTTTAATGATGGCCATAGGATATTGTTGCCTTTTTGAAGTTGACTTAATATGTTGTTTCTGAAGGTCTGCCATTTTACAGTGCATTGGTTAATTAAACAATGGAAGCAAGCTTAGCTAGCAATGTAAAATTCATTGATATCTACAAGATACCACTGTTTTTCTATTTTGTGATGCATGTTTATTATAATTTAAGATTCTTTGCAATTGATTGATAATAAGATGGTATTATCTTTGTTAGGCTGTCTGGTCTTTTGGAGAGTTCTTTTGATAAAACCAGAACATCAAAAAAAAGAGCATGCTCTGTTCCTGATAAGAATATAACAACTGGTGGCAAGCAAAACCTAAATCCATCATTGGCACATATGTCCCATCCAGGTTATGTTCACACTTTGTTAACTGTTAGTGTTAAAAATGTTTCAGATGAATTTTTAATGTACAGCTCTGCTTTTTTATTTTTTTTTAATGTATTAGTTTCTATTGTTAGTGAAAGAGCTTTGAAACAAAAAGTGTTTATGCAGTTTTTTGAAGTATCTCTCCAAATAAACAAACTAAAGAGAAGAAAACCATGAAAATGAAATTTGATACTATGAGGGAAACTGCAAAATACTTGGCGAACGGTCAGAGTGTTAGTCATTTGGAACAGAAATACTTAAATACAGAAGGGAAAAATATTTAACCTACTGCTGAAACATCATTTAAAACATTTCTTTCAGTTAGAGTGTCTGAAACATCTTTGTATTCTGATTTTGCAAGAGAGGAACCTGATGTTGCCTTGAAAAAAGAGACAGCAAATCCAAAACAATCAAAGACGGTACGAGTTTCTTACCTTTGTTTATTTGACTTTCAATCAAGACAATTGTCAGATTATCAGTGTTTCTGAATTTGTATATTACGTCCATTTAGTCATAAACTTATTTTTAATTGACTTTCCACTAATAGTGAGTGAATTAAATGATGTCAGCTTCACTCTTTACCTTTGCAGTGTGACCTGTTTAAGATTAATTTGCTCTGAATTTATTTTTTTTAAATCGTGTTTTTAAAACATAGTTCTTCAATAAGAACCAGCTTGTGCTTCTCATGCACCTCCTAATTCACTTTGAATGTCATAATACACAAAACCACAACATTTAAAAGAAAGTATCTGCTAACCTGATATTTTGTTACTCACTGTTTGGGCAATGCAAAGGAAAATAGTTTTCAGTGGAGGGTGATTTAGTACATATGGAAGACATTTAATAGGTGACTGTTGGGAATCTGTAGTTCTGTTTGCAGCTTCGCCCCTCTGTTGAATGGGTTCAAAGTTGAGTCTTAAACTTTATTTTTATAGAAAACAAAGTCTAAAGAAGTGACAGATGCAACAAAATCACTGATTAGTAAAATCAGTGACAGATATAAAGTAAAGACTGATGGGAAAAGCAAAGCAAGAGACTCCTTGGGTTTTAGCAGGTAAGATGTGAGCTATTTACTTTTGTGCTTATTCTTTTTGTGCATGTGGCTTTGTCTGTGATCTACTCCTCTGTCTACAGTTACTTCATGTCCAGCTTTCATCTGAATCATTTGTTCAATTCTGATAAACCCTACTGTACCAAAGAGTAGGAAACTAGTAGCCAGATAGTTCCAGTAGTTACAATAATTACAAAGACTGTTAGAAAGTCTATTCAGTGTCCTTTTGCTCATTCGCAACACATTTTGTGGAGAGAAATTAACTGAGATAGTTCATAGAGGCTGCACATGTTGGGTGTCTATATCCTGTCATCATAGTTTGGGGGTCAAACTTGGATACAGTCATCAATTTTCAGATTTTCTAATGTTCCTAGTTCTCTCTTCCTGAAAGACTTGACTGTTAGAGAGTTTAAATTGAACAAATTCTTAAATAATAGAATTAGTCTTACCTTGCTAGAACTTGTGATTGGAGATCCACTTTACATATAATTACATGCTCTCCATGTTTGATTGTAACTGGATGACAAAGGACTGGAATAGTTATGCTACATCACCTTTTAAACCTCTTGGATAGGGACTTGGAAGACATGCAGAACCTGTGGTATTAGCTGTGTGATCTGGAATGAATTTTTCTAGAGCACAGAAGTAAAAGGGGCTGATCTCTTTTAATCCACTTGGTTTTGTATTTAAATGCCTGAATAAATTTGTTGTTTGATAAGGCTTTTATTTATATAAGCAGTATTTTAAAGCATATATTCTAATTAGCATTTAAAAAAATGTTTCCTTATTTTCTAGGACACATTTAAATAAACCCTGTGTCTCTAAGGTAACATATTACTGCTTTTGTTGAAATTTTTTTTCATATCAGATATGTGTACGTATATGGTGGTAACTAGTAGACTAAATTGAAAGTTTACAAATACCACTGAATGTCAAATATCCGTATATGTTAATGTTAATTATTCATTGACTGTATATAATTAAAATACTTTTTATATATTAAGTGGAGTAATAATTTTACAGGCAGCTATCAGTCAGTGAAACCCAAATTAATTTCTGTTTACATATTGTATAGTTGAATTTGTTCCTTTTAAACATAGCAATGCTAAATATTTAGAATAATAGCACAGTGAATGAGATTATAGAATCCTTAAATGGGGTATAGCCAGGACACAGAAATTAGTCTTTGTGTTTGGGGTGAAAATTTCTGAGGTTTTGTTGATATCATTAAAGGATAAATTCTGTAAGTTTCTAGTAGCTGTTGTCACCTTTTGCCATATTGTACTGTTGCTAATTGATTGGAAGTCTGAGCAGCTGCTAGGTTTTATCATATGTTCACGATGAAGAACTTGCTTTCTAAGATGACTGTGGATGAATGCATAGTCCAAATTTGACTTATGGTTTAACTTTATATATAGGAAGAAGTTCAGGATAGAAACCTGAACAGCACTACTTTTCTTAATGTAACTGCTGGTCATATTATGTAAGTAGTTAAAACATTTTCAAACAAAATTTCTAATTACCCATACTTACCTTTGTGAAATACTCATTAATTCAGTCACAAAATTGATCTCTGTGTCTGTTTGACAGGGATGATGTCTACAACTTTAACATCAGTGGGTTTGATGAGCCTACAATAAAGCTTGGAGTAAGAATATAACTGAAAGTGATATGTTATGAATAGAATATAAAGGAGCTCAGTCAACCTAAATTATGTCTACTGAAAGTATAGTTAACATCTAAAAATTCAAATTATATCGCTGAACTAAGTGGGGAAAAAGTTTGACATCGCTTTCAAATGTATAATGAAATACACTGTCCTAAGGTTCTGGCCACTTAACGTTATTATGTTTTCCTGAATCAAGAATAAAACAGTTTGTTAGGATTTTCTTTATTTTTAAGTTGTCCTGTTGTCCTGAAAGTATTATTGCTATCCTTCTAATCCCCACTGTAAAGACATCTTTGCCCAGATATTTGAGCAAAAAGAAAATCAAGCTAAGATAAAAGCAAAAGACAACAAAAGATACAGTTTTTCTTCTTATGGCTTAGAGGAGTCTGCTGAATTGGTGAAAGTAGTAAAGCAAGTGGATGGAAACTAATGTATTAGTTTGAGATACTGAAAGTTTCAGTCAGTCCAGTTGATTTTAGCTCAGTTTTGTTCTTATGTAATTTCTAAGGTAGAAATTAATCATTGTAAGTTAATTGCTGAGTACAAGAAAAAGCCCTTAACTGTTACTGTCTGGTGGCCTGTTTAATTTTTTTCAAATTGTATAACAAATGAAAACCTTAATTTTTTTTCTTATTTATTTATGGTTTTAGATCCATGAATTGCATGTTACTGAACTGAGTGTTCGTAAAGATCCAAACAAAAAAGGGTAGGGATGTTATATTATGTCCTAGTTTGCTCATTTTCAAGAATAGTACTGTCTGCATTCTCCAGCATTCCATTGTGAAAATCCAGGGAAAGTATGCATGACAAGAAGACTATTGTTTTTTCAAGCAGTGAGCATAGCTACTGTGGTAACATAGGCTGTTTCATGATTTTCCTGTGGGAAGCTGATAAAAAGGAAAGAATGCATTTCATTAAGACAGCTTTAGTTCTCTTCGTGAAGTGCTATGGGGATATAAATTCCTGAATGGGGGGCAGGGGGCAAGGGGGTACCTTTTTGTTAATGATCAGCCTGTAAAAGGACTTACTGTTACTGTGTATTCTTAATCATCATTAGCAAATAAGCACATCCTTTAGGGTTTAAGGTGAACAGGTATTTCCAAAATGGATGTGAAAACAAAAGTAGGTACATCTGTTTGAGTCTTTAATCCACATACCATGTGAATAGTATGAAGATTTAGAACATGTGTTTTGAAATTTATTGTTTAAAGGTGGTTTTTCTTTTTCTAATTAAGGAATGCAGATGACAGTAAAACTAGCACTGAAGTGAAAGGCAGGAAAAAAGTAAGGCTGATATTTTTATGGATTAGTATTCCTTGTCTTCGTGCCTTTAAACACCAATTATGTAAGTGAAAGGCATATTAAAAGTAAATCAATAACTTAGGAACTCCTTTGGTTTTTGTAGACTATAAACAATCAAAACAAGAAGCATCTCTTTAGTGACACAGACACAGAATACAGAGGTGAAGACAGCAAGACAGACATTAGTTGGCTACAAGAATCAAATAGAAAATCGAAAGCCCAGTTAATTGATTACAGTAGAAATAAAAACTTAGGAAAACCAATAAGCACAGACAACAGTAAGAAACTTTTTTTGTATTTCTTAAGAATGTGGCTATAAGTTTGTCCATGGCATTTACATACTGTACAGCATGTAATGTTCTGTGCTGCAGATACAATATGTTTTTGTTGTCTTATTTCTAAGCATAAGGAATTTTCAATTTAGTTCTAATAATTTATAAAGGTTAATTTCCAAAATATCTGTATTTTAATGTGGAAAATTATTGGAGGATGGAACTGGCAGAGGTTGTTGTCAACAAAAAACCTTTGGCTTTTTAAAATAATGTACTGAAAGCAGTTTACTGAATCTGGAAGTTTGCAGGCCTAAAAGTGAGTCTATGATTTTACAGCTAAAACTCTAAATGTCAAGCATTTTAATATTTTGCTGATTTCTCTAACTATATGTATTGCAGGTAAATTCTCTGAACCTGCTTGCCAAGTGGATAAGCCTAAAGGCAAAAGTGCAAGTAAGAAAAAGGTAAGTGTAAATTTACAACTAGACTTGCAGTACATATTCAAAATTTCTTAACTCACTATAGAAACTGTTTTAAAATAATTTTTCATAAATATGTGCTATTTCTCCAGTCTTGTTTCAACATCATTTGTTAAATATAGTTTGTTGTTTTCAGGTACTATATTCTTTTCATGTAGCTTTAGCTAGCATTTCAGGCATAATACTAGCTACAAGTTAGAGTGATTATTATACATTGATGCTTTTGTAAGTTTCATTACTCAAAATTACTGATTATGTCTACTGAGTGCTTAATAGCCATCTACTCCATTGAATATGCCATTAGTTTTTCAGCAAGAGTTTTCATGTGGCTAATGTGCTTAATTGAATTTTAATACCTTTGAGATAATTTCTTTAAATGAATGTAACATAGTAAAACTGCGAAAACAAAACTGTCACAGATGTTCAGAAAGAATAATAATTGCAAGATATTCTAGGTATATTAAAGTTGGGAGTATAATAAATTACAAGTGATTATGAACATGTTAATGGAATGTGCTGTTGTAGGTCTTTGCAAACCACTGTTTAAAAACCAAAACAACTGGAAAAACCCAAACCCTTCCTCTCTGCCCTCTAGAATAATCTTTGGTGTCTCAGAGTGTACAATAATTACTCAAATCTATTTAATGTTAGTAGCTTAAAGCTACTTACACATACTCAGTGTAAATTATGAGTACAAAATTATGATCATCACATGTAGGTATTGACGGTGGTGGTTAGTCCATGTAAATCAAAACTGAAGAGGGCTTCAGTTGCTCAATGTTGAATCTGTCTACTTACTAAAATGTGTCCTTTTTTTAGTAGCAAAATTCCCCAGCTCTACCCAAGCAGTCCAAAGTGTCTACTTTGAGGAGGTGGGGTCCCACTACTGCATAGCATGAGATGGAGAGCGTCTGAAACCCAAGGAGTCACTAACAGATTTGGCCCTGGTGACGAGGAGGCTAGGAAAGCGTGCATTTTGCATAGGGTGCTTTTCGGGAGAGTAGGAGGCAAGGATTTGAATTTCTCCTAGTCTGAGAGGCATTGCACTTACATTTTAGATCCCTTCTATTGTCAAGTCTGTGGGGTACTTTCAGTGAGAACATGCTTTACTCTGTTTCTGAATATCGACTGCTATGTAGAGAGTGGCAGTAGTTATGATTTAGAAGGGGGACAGATATAAAAGAAGACTGATTCTAGTGTAGCGGTTAAGGTGATCAGTTCAGAGGTGATGATCAGGGATATTGGTTCCTGCTCACTTTGCAGGCTTTTGGTTTTGTTCCATTTCAAACCAGATACAGTCTAATTTAAATGTGCACATATTTCAGAGAGCAAGCTTTGGAAACCCACTTCAGCTTTGCTGTAGTTCAGAAATGGCATTTATTTTGCTGCTTCACTTTCTTGACTCTTACATTTCTGATTCACTGTAGATAGGGCACAGCGCAAAGTTACCTTCCCAAAATGCTTTGTATACTGATGGTTGGACTCTGAGCTTTGGTAAAGTTAAACTTTTTTAGTTGTTCTGAAATAATGGATTTCAAGTAATTAAACCAAGTTACCTTCCATTTATTCTTATGTATTTTATTTTATATCCATTTATTCCTTATGTATTTAATCATTTTGATATTAACTGAAGATGTTTTTATTCTTCCAAAGATAAATGAATGTAAGAAGCAGAATTCAAAAACTGATGAAACGATAGAACAAACCACCAGACAAAAACGACCTCGAAGAGCAGCGTTAGCAAAAAATTACAAAGAGCCTTCCAGTTCAGAGTCCGAGAGTGAAGGGAAATCTTCAGCATGCACCTCTAAGGAGGAGAAGTCAAAAATACAGGTATACAGTTGCACTTAATTCTTAAAAATCCACTTCTGCCATGTTTTTCAAACTCTGGTCTACTTTGTACTTAGTAGTTCTAAATTTTAAGTGCCCAACACAAGCAAGTTCAAATAAATTTTATTATTTCTAGTAATGCCCTTTTTTAATAATAAGTATTTAGTTGCTAAGAAAGTCAGTCCTAAATAATCTTCTCAGTCATAATAGTATTTTGGTTTCTATTTATTATTTATAATAAATAATATATTTATTATTTCAGTTTCTTATTTATTCTGCTGCACAGAACTACTGTGTCCTTCATTTAAAAAAACTTAGTATTTTGAAAATGTCTACTAAATGGGAGGTTTTAGTGAGCCAAATTTTGTTCTTTTAGATAATGTGATTTTGACAACACTGTGCCTATTCTGTGTACAATAGAAAATGCTGACTCAATAGAGTTTATGTCAGTACATTTGCTGAATATCCAAATAGGATTTTTAGTAAATTTTCATCAATTACATTGGGTGCTAAAACATTTTCATTCTTTTAGCATAACATTTCAGTGTACATGGATAAGTCTGTAAACTTCATTGATTAAGTTCTGAAGGTAGTTGACTCCAATAGTTAAGAAGTTCACAGGAGTATAAATTTGGGTGCTGAATTAAACAAATTCAATGCTTATTGATATTAGAACACCTGATATCCGTACGAATTTAAATACTTCTAGTGATGTTCCTTTTTGGACCTTCTGCTTTTTCAGTGGTACGTATAGATAATATGCTCTTTACCTGCATATATATGTGCACTTCCTTATGTTTACAAATAATGTTTATATGAACTTTGTATTTGAATAGAAACATGTGAATGGGGAAAAAAAGGATGGTATTCAGCAAAGGGAACTCCAGAATATTGTATCTGTGGAGCCAAAGAGAGTAGCTAACTACGTACATAAAGTATTGATTAAATCAAAAAATTCCGCAGAGCTAAAGGAAATTGAAATGCCTTCATCTGAGAGCCCTTTATCTCTTGAGACACTGAGATGTAAGTACTTTGGCTTTTAATTTATAGCAATACTGTATCAAAAGTTAGATGTTAAATGAGGATTATCACAGTAGTACAATTCAACATTTATTTCATGCTTTTAAAATAAGAGCTAGCCCCTAATTCATTGTGTATCACATGATTTAAGGAAGTGTATTAATATGTCACTAACACTTTTATAGGTTGGTGCAGTTATTTGACATCACCATAATATAGAAGTGCAATGCATAAGTGTTAGAATGAATCTGGTAACTGCTATAATAGTGTGGAGAGTGCAAAATGTGTAAGTGCAGCAAGTCGTATGCCATAACTTAAAGTAAAATTCCACACATCTGAGACGTGCAAATACCTAGAGTTGGAACAGTTAGCAATATGGGGCTTTGACTTACCTTTTTTAACTTTCATTCCTCATGCTGACAATTAAGTAACTGTTTTCTAGGTGCTGAAAGTTTCAAACCTTGCTTCTCAGATACACTTTCTATTAAAGGAAAACTACAAGATACCACTAAACCTATCACCAGAAGTAAAGAGGTATGTTACTAAATCCTTTGCTCTTCAGAAGAGAGCTGCAGCTTTTCGTCCATTCTATGTACTGTACAGATGGTGAGGTTTAAGGGAAATGCATCTTTCTTAATGTTAAACACCTACATACAATGTTGACTTGTGACCTGCTTGGAAAAAGCTACTTGTTAATTTTTAAGTATTTGAGATAAAGTAGGAAACTGTTTACCATATGGATTCAAGGAAAGAATTGTATCCCAACAAGGTCAGTTATAATTAATATCTTAAAAAATAATAGGGAGTATTTTCTTCTTGACTTTCAATAAAAAATAAATTAGTTTTCACAAATTAAAGACTTGTGACATCTGCATGGAAGAATTCTTGAGATGAAGTGCTTTCATATTTTTAGTATTAATGTACTACTCAACACTATTGTAGCATTGGCAGATAAAAACTGCTGTACACCTTCAAACCACTTCTCGTAAGTACTTTTTGTGATGAAAAAAGCACTAAGGACTCTTTTAAGAGATCATTTTGTTTGTGTCCTATTGCAAGAAACTGTTAGACCTTACTGGTCATTTGACTTATTGCTAAAATTAATTATTAACATGGTGAAGAATTTATTTATTTTGTCATCTGGTGAGACCTGGTAGTACTTCATGCGGCTTTTTTCTTACTATAGTTGTGGTCATGTCCCTAATTTAGTGTAAAGCAACATAAGTGCAGATTTCTGATGAAGACTTCTAAAAGTGCTTTAATTTGGAAGCTAATAAATCCGTGACTTTTCTTTTAGGATTCTATACCAACATCTCCATTGTCTGTTTCCAGTGGAAGTAAAGTACAGTCTTGGAGTGAAGAACCTTATGGCCCCATACATGAGTCAGGTACAAACTTCTAATTTAAAGCAAAAGACTTCCTATGTGTCTCGCTAAAGGTTAAGCAAAATGTTTATTTGACATAAGAATATGGCCCAAGTTTTTTTTTTTTTCTTTTTTGAAATCTTGTTTTCTATGTTTTCAATATTACTCCATTTTTATTCTTTTTCTCATTTTTCTCTGTTTTAATTACCCCCCCAAAAAAACAAAATTGGGCTCCAAATTGAAGTTACAGTAAAGAGTTAGTTGCACTCTTAAAGAGTTGGAAGCATCCTCACTGATACTGGAAAAAAGGTGGGGATAATGGAATTATCAAGAGAAGGCTTATGCTGTATCTCTTTAAGGAGCAAGTCTTGCATGGGTCAATGTTCTGTGTTCCATTGAAATCCTCTTCATTTACATCAAGTTCTCATATCTACTGACCATGCCCTCCATAAATGTAAGGCTTATTAATTTTTATATAGTTCTCAAGCTTAAAGACAAGACACACGCTCCTAGAGTTTGGATCCAAAGGGGTAATAAAGTCTTCTTTATCCTCCCATGTCATTTTTCTAAATAATCCTAAAATTAAGCATTGCTTTCGTCTTTATTAAAGGACCAACTATACAGACATTTCTCAAACGAAGGGACCGCAGTGATACAGAAAGCAATTCTGATGAAGCAGAACCAGGCAAAGAGGAGGAAAAGAGAGGAAAGAGAAGAACAAAGTTACAGCCTAGAAAATTATTTAAAACAGATGATGCTGTTACTTACAGAGGTTAATTTTGGGGTGAAAGTTGACTACAGTTGTGCAAAAGTTTAAAATAACATAACCAATTAAAGTTTTAACAAATGATAATATCTGTAAAAAAGCATTTTACATGTTTAAAAAAAGAAATAAAAAGAAATGCTACATATTTAAAAACTACATCTATTTAAAAAGTCAGAAAATTGTTATGAAAATAGAAACTGGTGTCAGCCATCTAATGTCTAAAATTAATCTGTATGTAACAAGAACTGGTTTAGGCGCTGTTGTAACTTTAGATAGGATACTTTTTCATACTGAATATTGAGACATTATCTTTTCTTACTTCTCTACAGTGTCTGAAAGTCTGTCTACTATATCTGTAAATGATCTGTCTGTTTTGGATGGGGAAATCTGGGAACCTGGTTGTTCAACTATCAGTATATGTCAGAAGCTCCAAAAAGAATGTACTAAGAAAATTGAGGCAAGACATTTTATATACAATATTTGCTGTCTGGGGAGGTTGATATGCATATGAATAATAGCTTGTCTTACACCACAGAATTTGCTTAAAAGGACATGAAAATAGCTGTGTGCATGAAACTTGAAGAAATTGCAGAATTTAAGTTTCCTTTTATGCCTTTTTCAGTTCCTTTATGTATCTAACTCTCCAAAGATTTTTCTTCCTAGGTCTGTTTGTTTTTCTCTTGTCTGTTGTTTCAAGCTTATGTATCTAAAGGAATGAGCGTACTGCATTTGATTTTTTTCAAATTATCAAACCTGTGAATTAAATTTGTTTGGAAAAAGGAAAACATGAGCCTGAATAATGCATTTGTTCATCTTAAGAAGGCTTTAAGCTCACATCATTCATTCCATGTGTGCTTCCTCCATTTTGAGAAATATATTTTTCAAATAATGTACTTCTAATTAAGTTAGGTAGAATTTTATCAAGAACATAAACGCATGTTTATTTACATTTTGTTAACAGAAAGGTTTTCCTTAAAGGATAAGGAGATAATTGAAAAAAAAAAAAAAGCTTTTTGCTCAGTATGATCTGTGATACTAAGCAATTACAGTACTACGCATACTAAAGGGGTTTTTTCCTAAAGTGAAAATAATATGAATTTAATGTTGAAACATCCTCATAGAGCCGCTCACGGAAAATGGATCATTTTACTAAGCAATCATTAAGAGCTGCCCATGAGCATTTGACAACAATGATTTACCAGCTTCATGAATGCAGGTCTGTAACAGAAGATTTATTTTAAAACACTCTTAAAATGCAGTGAATACTTTCTAAAAGTAACTCATTGTGTTTTGGTAGGATCAGGCAGCTGGACAAATTCCATTTTGCTCTCCTTGAGGAACTTGAGAATTTTGAAAAAGATTCTCAGTCCCTGAAAAACATGGAAAAAGAATTCTCGGTTTGTATTTTAATTGCTTGGTCATGGAAAAAAGCTAATTCTTAAGGAATTCATAGGTTATTCATATAATTTTTAACTTTAGATCACTAATTCTGATTTTAAAAGTCTGTATCATTTTGGTTAAAGTTGGGTCAAATTTCAGGTAATGAGTTTGAGGTGTTAGGATTGGCTAATGCTATGCTCTAAGAACTTTAGATCACCACTGTATAGTTTTCTTCCTAGAATAAACTACTACTTTTAATGGACTGTTTACTCCACTTCATGACCCTTTTTTTTCAGCTGGCCTGTGTTTCAGCAACAGTCTGTAGGCATTTGAACTTGATTTGCTGTGTTCTATGACGAGCCAGTTGGCAATATGGGTCTGCTACTTGCTGTAGTGTAAAAATCAATACACAAATATTCACGTAAACACAAGACTATATTCGCTTTTTTTCTTTACTCTGAAGGCATAGCTTAAATTATATGGAAAGTCTGATGAAAATGCTATGCATATTCTTTTTTCAATGTTTTTTAAAACATTACATAGAACAGATATTTGCTGAAACTGCTTCCATGATGGTAGAATTCCTGAAGTGCCTCATCCTGCCAGCAAAGCTTATTATTTTTTTTCAAGTTTCTGTGATCACTTCTACCCATTCTGTCCTGAGTCTGTGGTTGTAGGTTGCTTTGTTCATATTAGATACTAGCTTTAGTTCAGAAAATATTAGTTCCTACTGATTATCTTCTATTAATATTTTTCTTTCCAGACCTTTTGGAAAAAACATACGCTTACTTTTAGTACATACATGAAAAATGAGCAACAGAGGTTAGTAGGCTTCATTAATTGCAGGACGAGATTTGTGTTCTGTTCATTTGAGGTATAAGTTAAGCCAACTGGTAGTCTCAATGCAATTTCTCTCTCCTGTAAAATAGAGCTAGTAGATGAAATGCGACAATGAGATGAAAATGTTACATTATAGGAAAAATGTGATTATTCTCCATCTAAATTTATCCAAATACCAGAGAGCCTATTCCAGTAGTAATAATGATGGTAATATTTATCCATGCTTTTAAGTACAAATAGACTACAAATAATGGGATGTATTCATTATATGTGTGGAAAGTTCATACATAGTAAAGCTGTTTGAACTGCCTTTTATTTCTTTAGAATTCAGATTCTTAAAACTTCATTTGAAAAGAATATCTACCATGCTGTTGACTATGAAGAACGTATTTTTACTTCAGAGGTATGATGAGCTTCTGTTTGTTTCTTGATTTTAATAATTCTTCAATTTTACCAGCAGATATCCGTATTGACTTTTTTCCCAAAGAACGTCTTTATCCTCAGCATTGTATTAATACCACATAAGTATTTATATAGTTTTTCGTGGTCATAAAACGTCCTTTAATGTAACAATACTCGGTGTTTTAGGCCTAGATTTCACCCTTTAGAAAGTGTGTGCAATTATCTGGAAAAGTGCTTCAAGATTTGTGCTGTATTCTGTGGCTTTGTTCACCAGTATTAATCATCCAAGAACGAACAAATGTCAAACACACATCACTTTCCTTAGGCAGATGGATGTATGTGCATCTATATCTCTCAGTTATAAACCATTTAGGGATGTAATTCTCTTCTTGAAAATGGGTTACAAATTGTGAGCAGAAAAGATGCATTCAGTATCTTTTTTATAGATGCTTTTGATGAAAGAAGACATAAAAGGACTCCAAGAGAAACTTCTTAAAGAAATGGTAAGTGAATCTATCTTGTCCTCATTTTTATTTATTAAGTATAGCTGTTTGCACGCTGAATTACTAAAAATTGTAATTTCTACTCCTCTATCAAAAATAAAAATAAATCATAATCCAAGTATCGCTGACGTGTTATACTTTAAACCTTATTTGGGTAAGCAGGAGGTAGATACGGGTATACTGTTCTAGTTCTGAGTCTTAATACATTGAATGTTGACGTGCAAAAGAAAACTATCATACTTGTTATGTTAACAGTATACATTATGCACCAGAATTACAATACTAAAAAAAAAAAAAAATTTTACTTAAAGTGTGTGATAAATGTAATGCTTTTTGCACAGCAAGAAGAAGAACTGTGTAATGTTCGCAGAGGATTGCAGACATTGTTTCAATCAGAAGATAGAATTCTGAAATAATATTTTCAGATACCTTCCTGAAATTCAAGGTGAATATAAACACACTTTTATAATGTAAAATTTGACAACTTTTAAACTTGACAACTTTTTTTTTTACACTTAAGGAAACTGTTGTAATGAAAGCATATTTTCCATATTAAAATCTTTATGGGTAAGACTTCTTTTATATGTGAGATTTGGAAGTACTTTACTGAATATGCTAAAATGCAATATGTAAATTTTTGGAGTTTTAGCACATACTATTTTTGAAGAAGTCTTTAACAATTTCTATAGGTTATTTAAGTGAATTTCAGAGAAATCACTTCAAATTTTACTTTGAACTTATGTTTTGGGTCTGTTGTGTATAGAATACCCCTTTTGTCTGATCCAGAATACAGTCAGAAATTATTTAGGGATCAAATTGCCTGTATTGATCTCAGTCCTATTTGTCTGTGGTTTTAGACTTCAGTAGGAGTTTCTAAGAGAAAACAAAGCTCTAAACACTTGTGGTTGAACTATGTTGCAAATAGTTGTATTAAATATTTCGAGAAAAATATATATTGCCTCTGGTTTGGTTTTTTGGTTTTGTTTTTTTTTTTAAAAATATTACTATTTTGCTTTAAATCGGTAATACATATTTGCATGTCAGTCAAATAAAACTTACTGCTGTGCAAATATTTAATGTAAGACAACAGACACCAAGAGGGTCTGCTATCTGTAGCTCAGAAATACAGCCTATGTACTACGACAATCTATTCCATATACTTGATTTCATAAGGTTTCCTAAGAAAACAACCAGCAAGTCAGAATTTAAACTTCTCCTTTGCCATGTATCAGCTAGAAGCTTTCTTCTGAATATTTATGATATGTAATTTCTAAACTAGTATTTCTCTTAATTCGCTTACAAAAAAGCTACCTTGCATTTTATATTTCCTTAGAAACCTTCTAATCTTGTTTAACTTGCAATCCTGCATGTATATACTGTAAAATTTTCAAGTTCAGAACAATAGCTTTAATATTTTTCATTTAAGTTCTTTTAAAAAATGGGAATTAAAAACTTACAGCTGATGTAGATGTAGCAGATGTAGAGAATAACTCATAGAATGGGCATGTCTTGGAGCTTGCCTGCATTACCACACGCAGAGCTGCCTCTCTACCATGGAACTGACTCAAGTTTAACACTCCCAGCACCTCAGGAGCCAGAGCTCACTCAGCCCTGCACTAACACAAGTTCGCAGCTTCTGGAGCGAGGTGGAAGAGAGTACGTGCTTGTCTGTAGCTGATATTATGATCACAGAGCTCTCAAAAGAATATATTAGCTAATTTTGGGGTAACAGCTCTTCACAACTGAAATACTCTACAGCCCTTATTTTACATTCTGTTATACCTCTTATTTTGTCCTTTGGTTGTCTTTAACATCATACACACTTCTCTGTCATTTCTTCCATTATCCTTTCTACCTCTGAACTCCTGTTTTTCCTAAATTTCCTTTCTGTGTTCCTAATATTGCTTTTATTGTCAATACAGAGACCTTCACTTACAGTAGTGTTCTAGGACTTTTTTTCTCATGTTACTGAAGCCACTCAGACTATATCTCTTATTTTCATACTGAAACCACTCAGATAATACATCTTACTTATTTTCATTCCTGCTAGTTCTGAATGCAGCTATTATGCTATATTGCTATTATTATTGTCTAGTATTTTTTAAAAAGTCTCATAGACTGGCTTTCATTATTCTAAGTTGTTGACAGTTATTTAGGTATGTTGATTTGATTTGCTTCAAACCCAACAATCATTTTTTCAAAATATTTATCTAGAAGTTCCCTGCTGAACCTCACCTGCTGAACCTCACCCTGCTGAACCTCTATCTGCATCTTTAGTGATACTTAACCAGTTTCTTTTTATTAACTCTTTGTTGGCTTGCCCATGCAATCTGTCTGTCCTACCAATACCTCATATATCTTTGATTTATCCTGCATTATTTCTGAGTAACCTTTTCCAAAAGTTTATTTTTAGAGAGGAAAACGGCACGATTTAAAATTAACTCTATCTTAAAATTAACTCTATCTTAAAATTAACTCTATCTTAAAATTAACTCTATCTTAAAATTAACTCTATCTTAAAATTAACTCTATCTTAAAATTAACTCTATCTTAAAATTCAAGGTGGAAAACTTCGACAGAGGTCCAAAAACAAAGGGGAAGTCTATTTATTTCTAAATTACTTTTCTATCTTTATATTAATATTGACGTTAAATAAAAAAGAAAAGTCTGTGCTCATAGATTGTAGCCTGAACTCAGCACTCGCTGAGCAACCATTTCAAAGTTTGTCTTTCTCAAAGCATGGGGTGGGACCCAATGACTTTCAAAAATGACCTAGGTTCTTACCAACTTAAATTAATCTATGACTGTGAAAAATATTGCTTTTATCCTTACTGAAAATACTATCTTTAAAAAACAGCTTCTTAGATCAGAAATGGATGTGATAGATTTCTATCCAGTGTGCACTGAGAATAGAATGCAGAGTAATTGGTGTTCTTAGACTTCATTGATGGGAGATGGTTTATTGTAAATACAAATAGTTGTAAGTGAAATATATTTCTTGTAAACTAATTTTAAAAACACAAGGCTGTGTTGTCTCTGGAAATTATTATATTGAAGTTGCCAGTAAATAATTTGGTCCACTGATCCCATCTACATAAGTGTACTTAATGCTTTTCCAATTTTTCTGAGCCTCTGATTTTTGTGGTTTTTTTCCGAGCCTGTGTTCACTGTCATCTCCACTAGATGGACCTCATGAGATGTTAAACTTTTTTTACTGGTCTAATTGAATTTTACCTGTATATGAAACAGTATTTTTCTCTTAACTGTTCAAGGTTTTAAAAAGTGCACTGCAAGGCCCACGTTCTTTTCTTACCATGAGTGCATATTGGAAAAATAATACAACTGCTATATTTAGTGAGGACTCATGATAAAATAGGAGTATGATATTTTACTGTCCACCTGTCAGTCTTTACCCCACCCCATTAACTTCTAACAACTTTGAGCAGGTGCAGTCAAATTTAACAAATGTAAAAATGTGAAGCATATCACAAGGGAGTATTCACAAAGGCAAAGTTTAGCACAGGGAGATTCCTTGAGTATTTTGTGGGGGTTTTGGCTGGTGGTGTTTTTTTGGTGTTTTTTGTTGTTTTTTTTTTTTTTTCAGTTTGCAAACAGGAAAATGCAGGGTTTGTTCAAAGCAGACACTGAAATCACTGAAATGCAGTGACTGGAATAGTGCACTGCAGGCCTGTTTCTTTTTTCCATTGGGAAGAAGTGGCACAAGAGCCTCCCAAAGCTAAACATGCCTTCCGTGGGTGCTGTCCTGAATTCCGACAGTAACCAAGCACAATTTACGGCCCAGTGAACGCATGCAGGCTCCAAACAATTTGACAGACCTGGCCACCAGTAAGCTGATGGTAGTTAACTGGCAGTGATCGTGAGTGGCTCTGAATTTGTCACAATTTCTGTCTTTTACCAGACCAAAGCAGAAAAAAGGCTGGGATGCTTGTGATGAAGGATGCTGAGGACACAGGGAAGAAGCACAGTATATTGCTGCATAAATACAAGATGGTTAAGTCACATTAGTAATACAGCTCATAGGCATTGTTTTAAATTTTGAAAGCTGCTCTGTTACCCTTAAAATATTTTTCTGTTTATTATATTTTTCAACTTAACTTTAATGTGTTTTATACAATATTTTTATTACCAGTGAAAGTATGCATCGCTGCTAACTAGGAGTGTTGCTTTAATTTATTAGCTATTAGCTAAGTTTGTAGTTAACAGTGGGTCATCTACTGTTTTCAAACTAAAAATGGTTCTTCTGCTGAAGAAACTTTTCTCTCCTTTCTGTTTGCCCTTTCTGTGTATTACACCTGGACTATCAATATATTGTTGTTTAGAATTAATAGTATTTTATTCATAATAATTAAAATTATTGATAACTAGCCTTTTAACATACTGTTAATTATAATGTTACATATTTCTGTGAAAAGCCAGCAAGTTATAAAATTGCAGTAAGTCGGGGAAAAAAATCTTTGGATCAAGTAATTGGGTAATTCAGGTCTTCAACTGATAGCTACAGAAGTCAAACATTAAAAAGTTATACAAAATTAGACCTAGCTACAACAATGCTAGCAAGCTTTGCTGGTCCTGGGCACCACATCTCTCATGATTCCTCAGTTTCTTCTAGCATTGTCCTTACTGACATAGATGTTAAGTGTTGCACTGTATGTTCTTACCTTCCATTCTTAAAAGTTAGTTTATCCAAAAAACAGCACTGTGTTTGTTATTTCATCCCCACACTGAGCAGCAGAAGAGAATTGAAAGCTAATCCATTCACTGTTTGCATTGATTCTATTCACCATCTTGCAGCAATTTAGCAGTAGTCTATACAAACAATTTTACATACCATATTTTCTTTATTATTTTCTCTCTTCATGGAGATCATCTCAACAAAGCTATAAGACCAAGAATGCCTTTTTCAAGTTTTTAACATTGAATGACTTCCTAAAAGGATAGCATTTAAGACTCTTGCAGAGACATTTTTGTCTTGTGAGTGTATGTGCCATTTTGTTGCCGTCTCATCAGGCATACTTTACAGATACAGGATATATATTTTGTCCTAAGTTTTTTCCTTTTAGTAGTATTTTGAGTAGAATTCTCAGATGCTTCTAGATGTCAAGCATTATTAGAATGTCTGGCTTTACGTTTATTCCTACAAGTTCTATTTGCCTTTAGTAACTTGTTTCTTCTTACTGTCAATAAAGCATTAAAATCATTTGTTTGCTAAATATCAAAGTACATTGTTACATGTCTGTGGTTGTCAAATTTAGTAATTTTGAATTAGAATAACAATGAGCTTATTTGTCATTCACTAGAGGGCCAGAACCTCAACTACTGTAGACTGATGTTTACGTTATGCTGGTTAGAATCTGGTCCAAAATGTCGATATTCCACAAGATGGAAAACCTTAGTTAAGATCATCCTTTTGAAGAATCTTTGTTGTTAAAGAAGCGATACGATCCGGTGCATAATAATTGTAATCTCTTCCCTTCCCAACTGTCCCTGGGGAAAAAAAAGAGCTTTAGGAAACGTGTTCATTTCCTGCAATAAGTAGTCATTTAATTAAAGAACAAAAGTAACAGGAATCAAAAATGCTTGCAGCTGTGATTGTTAGACATTATATAAAAAAGAATGAAATTATAATACATTAAATTAGTTTTTAGAACATGAACTTAAGTGTTTTACAAACTAATTGTGGTAAGTTCAAAATGTCTTCTCAACGTAATACTGAATGACAGTGTGTCATGTCCATTTATGTCAGAGGCCTTGGAATGGTAAAGCCTGTACATGCACAACATCTCCTTTTCCAAGATAGACTGCAAAACAGTTTGAAACAAGTGTTAAAGGAGAGTAGTAGGTTCTTCAAGTAGCTTTACTTCAGTCTTTTTCAGCAGATCATCCCACTCCACAGGCCATCGCTCTTCTGACTTCAGAGCGAAGTACATCTATGGTGTGTGTTTCTGTACGTAAGTGCTGCAGAGACTTCATCTGCAGAGTCCTCCTTTCACATAAATATCAAGGTATCCAGTGCTGAACTTTAGGGAAAGACTTATATATTCCCTGATGTGTGTTCAGCAGCAATATCAAAAAGTAAAGACAGATTCTTCTCAGAAGAAAATTTCTATGGCCTGTGAAATCTAGGAGAAATAAGAGACATTTTTCAGACCACTTTGAAATTAAAAGAAATTTTATATATATATATTTATACACAATTGTCAAAAATTCTATGTTAGATAACAAAAAATTTTTTTTTTTAAAAAAAAACGGTATTCATTCTTTTTAAACTACAGTAACAGTTTCGAAGACTATTAACAACCTTAAGTCTTAATTTTCACCAACCCATTTCCACCCGGATGCCATGACTGTAGTACAGTTACTGTCCTCAGGGCCTGGTCTAAACAGTTTACAGTTATTTGGGAGTGGAAGTGCAAATATAGGTGTGGGGTGGATTTTGGTTATTTTCTTTTAGGAATTAAGCCACAGTTTGGTAGAAATATTCTTTATTGTGCAGTGATTTTATTATTTTGTAAGATTTAAGCAATGTTGAGCTGATGCTTTGGAAAAGATGAGGACATACTGTTGGTTTAATGTACAATAGCCTTAAGAGTCTGTCTGGAACAAATATACTTTTGCTCTGTAGGCTGCTTCTTTTGGCTGAGTTATGTAATTAAAGTCCCAATACTTTGTAATGCCTTAGCACTAATTGTAAATTGTAAGCCTGTTTACTTCTAATATCCTGAACAAATTTCAAAATCTATCATTATAATCTACTTAAACTCCCCAGGTAGCTTCAATTGGAGAAGGTATATCTCACTTTCAGACTTAAACTGCAGCCATCCCATTTTTTTTCCCCTATATTTCATTCTATCAGTGCAGTGATATCTTGCCATAAACACCAAGCCTGAGTCCTGTTCTGACTTGTGTATTTGCCTAGACCACCTTTTCATTGAGCAGCCTAAGATCAGTTAAGCTGGAATTCATTCCAAGTTCAGAAACAAGCAGGGGCCTGTGGGCCCAGGCCCTGATGAAGTGAGCCTTCCCCAACACAAGACTGCACATCAAGTTCCTTAGTCCAGTGTTTGGCAACTTCTATTAGCAGCAAGCACACCTGAGAATGCTCCCTGACAGGGCAAGAGTATGTTGTGCTCCCAGCAACTCCTAAAAGTGTGTTTTAAGAGGAATTTGGTTTGCTCAAGAGACCTAATAGAAATTGTAGGAAATAATTGCTGTTTCAATTTTCTCCAACATCTTTTTGGAACTAACAGTGGCTGTGGAATCAGCCTCTGACATTTTTTTTGCCTGTTAGGAAAGGGAAATTACTGGTTTAATGCCTGTTTAAACATAGCACCTGTCATCACTGCTGGCACATGAAGCAAGCACTAGCTTGACTAGGTTCACACTGGCCCAACCACTCAGAGAGTGCCAAGAGTCCAAACCTGTTCTCTCTCCTGCCAGCTCTGCTGGACTGCTGCTCAGTGTGCTCAGGACATTGTGCTCCTTCCAGTAGCAACGGGCCTGAATTCAGGGGACACTGAAATCTGCAGGCTGAATCCACCATAACACATCCAGCCAGACCATGTGCATTACTTAGGGGCATTATGTATGTCTTGATATGGTACGTTGCACTCCCTGTACACTCAAGTACTCAAAGCCCTTTCTGTAGTGTGCTAAGTTGTTCATCTACTTTTAAAAAAAAATGGTATTCTTTTCTGTGTCATACTCTACATTTAATTTTTTGTCATAGCTTTTGATTCTTCAAGGAATGCAAGCTGAGTGATGTTCTGGAGAAGGTCTGGGAGAAAAAAAAAACATCAGAAGAAACATCAGAAAAGCCAGGTTCTGAACAGGAAGAGAAATACCTTTGTTTTCTTTTAAAATTTTCCTTTGCGTATTCTTCTCCCATATCTAGCATATAAGAGCAAAATCTACCGATTCAGGTCTCAAAAAGACTGTTTTTGGCAGGCAATAGAAATAAATAGCTGGAAAACTGACCTTGTCAAATGTTTGCTTGATGCATGTACCTCCATTTCATTACTTTTGTATTCATTTAGTTCTTTCCGAATTGCTGCCTAGGAGTTGAAAACAGGAGGAAGTTAACAATTTTGTGTTTGTAAGCATTGTAAAATACTTGACTTGCAGAGCAGAACAGGAGTTTAGTTCTAAAGTAGAAATAATAGATATTGGGTATAGCAAAACATACTGTGCCAGTGGGGATGCTGAATATTTAGGTTATATGGATTAGTGATATGATACTTATCATTCATTACTGATTGCTGACGGGGTCGCTTCTGTCTACAAGCAATTCTGACAGGAGAATAAAACCACAGTGCTTATTGTCTCACATTTAATAAGATTCCAGTTAAAATTTATTAAAGATTGAGAGAACTTGCCGAGACATTGATCAGCTGGTCAACTGACTTTTACAGAATTTCAATGTGTATCATTTTTTTTAATAAAAATCAGACTGTTTGCCTTATCACAACTTGCAAATACCAGTCCAGACTGTGTTATCACCAGTAGCCATAGGATTGCACAGTCATAAATGAAGAAAATTCTTCTCTTTTGGTGCTTATTATAATGAAATTCCAGACTATGACAGTGAGAGCATTCTTTTATTTAAATGACAACTGCGAATGAACTGGAACACACAGGTTCTTTCACAGATTCTTATAGATTTGGTACTTTGTAGTTTTGCTACCTAAAATGATGAGGAGTGTACCCGTGTTCATGTTTTATATCAGATTTGGCTTATTAAAAGAAAAATGAGGAAAAATAATGTATGTCTATTCCAAAAGAGAAGTTTTTCAGTCACAAATGCAACTCCTGACCGAATTCCTGACATGTGCACCAGTATATGCTGTTGAACTGTGTCACTTTCTTTTTAGCTTATAAACCTGCCTAGTTAACCGTAAAAAAAACAGTAGAACTAGGAAAAGCCTAATTTTAATAACTATCCAGTACATACAAGGAAAATACAAAATCATTATTCCATTGATTGATACATAATAGCTTATTCACCATTTTAGTGAGCTCAGGAGAACAGCTACTGTAGTAGAAACACAATTTACTTTTCTACATAAGTCCTCTAAAACCATTTGTTAGACTTTTTACTGGGGAGACACTGGAATGGAGAATGAAGTGTGTGATCTCCACATCTCAGAACAAAGCAGTAAGTAACAGTCCTGTATTTGCTGTTTTCTCCAGTAATTATTTCAGCATCCCTACTTGTTCTGCTTGCCGCAGTCCTGAAACTTAAGAAGCTATTTAGCAGCCCTTCTATCTGGAATCATGCTGAACGATTTTTCTTACTACTCAAGCACCTAAATGTGAAAGTTAAATTAGGATGTAAATCAGCTATGTGGCAGGTATGTGAGAGAACAAATGTGGGATCAAGTGACTCCTTGAGAATTTATAGGAAACAATAAATACTTGCATGTTTAGAAACATTGGAAGATATTTGCATGTTTGGGAGAAAACTTCTAGTCTGAGGATAAATGTTAATACTGCATTGACTGGAAATGGTTGAGTTGCAGTCCTAAAGCATTAAGAAAGATTGTATACACCTTTTTTTTATTGGTTGATGGGCTGATAGAAGCCTTTATAATACTAAATAGGCATTTTTATAAATAACATTTTTTTATGACAGTATGCATTGGTCAATGTGGTTTCAGCATAAAAAATAATGCTAACATTTACAAAGATTAAATGTCCCAGAGGTTAAATGCCTTTGCAGAATCTGATGTATAGTCATAGACAAAGCAAGTAGAAAGCAGTAGTATGTCATTTGATCATGTCAGCACCTTATCTGCTGCTGATAGTCTTGTCCACGGTTTATCTGCTCGCCTGTCATAGTCCTGTGCTTTTGCCACTTCCACATAATCACTGAATCGAATCAGGATTTTTCTGTCTCTTAGTTCATCAACTGTAGGTCTCTGGTTAAGCTGTATTAAGTAGTTTGGTAAAATAAAACTAGTGTTAGTAAAAAACATATCAATAAAATGTGGAACATTTTCTGCTTCCCATCTTAGTTTACTGTGTATTTGTATATATGGAAAAAAAAAACAACCCCTGGAAATCCCGGGGAATAATGCGGTCCTTCGGAGGATTGTTAGGAAAGTAATAATGGTTTAAATGGAGTTGTGGGCTACAGCACAGTGGCTTTATAATGGACAAAAGAGGAAAATATTTTAACCTGGATATTGATAAAATGCATTTAGAATATGTAAAGGAACCATAATGAATTTATTATAATTTATGTATAATATCATGCTGTAGCGGTTTTCTACTACAGTCAGCAGCAGGTTGTCTGCAAAAGGTTTTCAGGACTGAACCCGTTGTAAGAATTTCAATTTGGCTTTATCAAGTTATCACCTATTTAGCTTATCATTTCAGTTGGGATTCCTAAGAACAGAACAATAAGAAGATTTAGTTATGATTCTGAGAATACCTTAAACGCAAAGAGAAAATTATTGTGGGATCACACCTGCTGCTCAGCAGGGAGTCAGCTCTGCTGCTGATTGCTACAAAGAATGAAGTAGTCCTTTTCTAGCAATATAGTTGAAAAATACACAGTGTGCAAGAAAATATCCAATTTCTGATTTAAAGTTTATACATAAATATTCAACAAAGTCTCATGTAGCTGAGATAAAGTAGATATTTTTATAATTCATATTACTGGATAATCCTCTCTGAGACACTGCTGAGGAACATGTATATTAAGGAAGGTTTCATGTAATAATGACCTCTGATGGGTTGATGTTATATTAGCTTTACTAAATTTCTAAAAACTAACAGAAGGTATGGCAAGACTTTACCTTTCTTGTCAGTCTCTGTTTGATTTCCCTTCTTTCTTCCTGTTCTGTTTGATCATTTCTTTCTGTGTAGAATATAAAAAAAAAAGAGATTACTTTCCTCATGAGGAGGATTGGTATTTTCCAAAGTTCCAGAAAAATTAGTAGCTGGTTCTTAGTTGTATGTCTTGTTAGTTCAGTACATCTCCCTGGTTCTCTGTTAGAACGTAGTTACCTCTCTGTAAGGGCAACGTACTGGTGACAATATCAGCTTTTCCTGTGCTCTAAACTCCAAGGAGATTTAATAGAACAACAGCAGCCACACCAACTCTTCAACTGTATATATTTCAGAAGGGAAAATCAAAATACTCCATAGTGAATCATAATTTTTTTATTCTCCATATTGCTGGAGCCATTCATTGCTGTTAGAGGCTGAAGAGAGTCATTGCAGCAGCTCCAGGGAAAGTATGTTCTTTCCTGTATAACCTTATTCTCAGGCTACATCTTTAGATGGTCACACTGCCACGGTAGTTATCTTTGACTTGCATGCTTTTTTTCTCTGCTATTCAGGATATGCCACTGACATTAGAACCTCTTTATCCTCAGAGGGCTTTCTTTTGTAGCGTTCCATTCTAACCTAGGCCAGCTCACTTTTGTGTGTTGTGCTTATTAACATTCAAGCCGTGATAACTCCTACACAATGAGTCTAAAAATAGACTAGAGTGCTGTAACACTGTGTGAAATATATCCTTTGCCTTGGGAAACAAGTTAATGGCATTTCTATTTCTAGTACTATCTGTTACTAAATTAAGGCATGAGCCTATGACCTGAACAAAGCTGGAGACCTAGAGAAGAATGTTTAACCATTCTGGGATTCTCTGGATACTACTGTGAAGTTTATTGTATGACTTGTATAAGGTATTTCCAGTGTTCAAGCACACGTGATTTTTAGTATGCCTCAAAAAACCACTAGCACTGCAGATGACTTTCCAAAATAATATTTTTAGTAATGAAGTATTCTCTCTTATTTTTATGCTCATTAGTTTACACTGAATTGCAATCATAAGTATCTATTTAAAATAAGATAGTAGTGCATAGCCACAAATGGCTATAGTAGAAATGTAAATCAAATTAATCTAAAATGCTGTAATGTGCTATATTACAATTCAGGGGCAAGGCACACCAATTTAAAAGAATAGGACAGCTAAAATTAGTGCTCTGTCAGGGATGAGCAGCTATTTAAGTCTGGAATGTTTAAAAAGAGAACAGGCTTTAAGAAGTAGAGTGTATTCTAAAATGTAGATACCTGCAAGAAGTTACTAATAGGCATCATTCGGTTTTAATTCACCCCTGTTAGAGTAGATATTCCTATCTATATATTTTTATTCAAAGATGGGAATTTTCTGTGGTGTAGTGCCTTTTTAAGATACAACTGTGATATGCACTGAGAAAATACCTAAAGAAAATCCACAAATATACATTTCTGATGAAAAAATGCTTTTCCAAATACACTAAACATGAAAAGTCACCCATTTCTATGAGACATTCAGTGAGGTTTGGAGCTAATTCTTAGCTTCAAGAAATACATGAAATAATTATTTTAGAAAAAAATAAAACAAGATTTGATAGGAAATGCTAGCAAGAGCATTACAAAACTCAGATGTTGTTACAGAGACAAACCAGAGAGGTTTTTCCCATCAACACCACTCTGCCTACACTTAGATCACATTAGTGAGGGCTGGTTTTATAAACCTCCGTAGAGAGACACTCCCAGTTATGAAGTGGCATGTGCAGTACTGTAATTCATTTTGCTGCTCTGTGAGTTATTGAGGGAACTCTTAGCTGTGCGTGACACTAAAACAATCCCTGGTGTTAAGAATGAGCCAGGGATTGCACAGTGTGATATAAGAGATGCTGCCTTCTTGAATGTGAATGTCAGCTTTCTGTTGAATACAGGAAGAAGATGTGAACACCTGGGTCGTGATTTTAGTTCATGTGCTTTTCATGCTTTGTGGTAAACCAGCAGTGTTTCTATACATAAAGTAAAAGACTTAAAAGATTAACAAAATTGTAAGAAAGTGTTGGGTTTAAGGTTGCTTTTTAAGTATTACTTTTATCTCATAATCATCTCCCTAAGGGAGATAAGAAGTCACTTTTTTTAATCTTGCTGAGATTGGTTTTAAAATAAGATCGTAGTTGCACTTGAGCACTTGCAGTATGCTTCTGATTTTGGCAGAGTTGTACAAATGTGTATTATTAGTCCTTAAAACTGCTTTGGGGGTGGCATTGCTTCCGTTAGCAGTATGTATTATGAACATCAGAGACATAAGGAAACTTACAACACAACTGTACAAACCCTTAAAACCTGGAGGAGGTTGTAGTGGTTTCACTGGAGAGTGTTTATACAGCTACAGCTTTGTATGTGAGACCCAACCCAGGTGCTTTTAAAGTCCATAACAAGAATGTCTGTTTCACTATTAATAAAAGGACTTTACTAATTTCTAAATTCACTCAAAAGTGAGACTAGAGTTGTTGCATCTGTCTGGCTTTTTACGATTACAACTGACACAGCTATGTGATGACCTTAGCTCTTTACAAGATACCCAGCTTTTTATATAATGGAAGAGGTAAATAAAATAGAAGTGGCTCTGATCTCAGCTGAACCTGTATAAAGCCTGAGCAACTAAACTGAAGTCAATATATTTGCTCCATGCTGGGAGCCCTTTAAATGAGATAGAAATGTAGACCTGTATGTAGCTAGCATTCAGGAAATATCTTTAATTCTGCTTTATCTTCTTTCTGCTTTATCTCTCTCTAAGCTCATTATATGAATGTATTCAAACTTTAGTATTATTAAAGCTGGTCAGTTTAACCTAGATTAAGGATGTAACCAGCACAGTCCAAAAAGTAAACATAAAGGAACAGATTTTTTCAGTAAAGATCAGCTCTTCCTTAGCCAGGAAGAAACCCAAGGAAACAGATTTTCAGAGATCTTAGGTACTGACTTGAAAATCTGGCCCCACATATTTCAGAATCTTGGGTTAATGCATTTTCTTGTTTCTTGTGGTAGATGACAGGTGAAGTTTGGCCAAGTTCATCCATTCACATTTGCAAAGAATGTATCCTGTTTCTCATTTAGCTATGCACGTGGTAGATCTAATTTTACCATGTGCGATGTATGCCTTGGAACAGTACTGACAATACCAATAAACATAAGTTGCCTATGGAATTCCTTTGTGTTAAAACTGAAATTAAATTCCCAATAATATAAATCGCAAGAGCATGAGGTTGTTTCTATGATCTACTAACAAAGTTCTGAGACATTAAATTTTAGATTTAAAAATGTAGATACGTTTTTTCTAGCAAATTACAATCACATTAATAATTAAATATTAATTGAATAGCATAGGCAGCATTGCTTGAATGACATAAACTTATGTGGCTTTATGTTTTATGCTTCTTTAATGAGAAACAAACTATTGTTCACATCATTCTTGTTTTTGTCATTCAGCACTAAATAAACCATGAAAATAACAGAAGCAATGTACTTCAATTTCAAGCAGACGGCCTCCCCCTTTCTCTTGTCTGAGACTCATAATGGAGACAATTTCAAAGCGCTCTCTCACCTTCCCCTAACTTAGAGGATTCCCAGCACTTGTAAGGAAAGGGATTATGTTCATCACTTCTTTGTTCCCCAGTTTGATTGTTTGGACAGCAATCTTTAGGAAAAAAGTTGCAAGTTTCTGCCTTGTGTTTATTTGAGAGATGTTGAGAACATCCCCTCGTGGCAGCATATATAACAGGCCTGGAACTGTCCCTCTGAGATCTCAGAATGATCTTTCTTTGACTTGTCTTTGGGAAGATCTCTAATGATGTGAACAAATGTACTTGCTAGGAAAATCACACCTCTGCAAGTATGCTTTCTCCATTCCACTTTAGCCTTGACATTCAGTGTATGGTTTGCCATGACAGTCCACAGCTTGAAAGATACCAGTCCAATTCTCATTGCACTGTGTGACACTAAAATTGTATACCCCTCTTTGACATCCACAACAGTGTAATCAGAATGAAAATTATTTGAAAGCCTGAATTTGAACAAGTCATTCATTTCTGTTCTAAGTTACGTGCCTTTGTCAAGTTGTAAATTCTGATTCCTGCAGCATTTGCAACCCAGGACATGTGAAAAATTAAAAATAAAAATTAAAAAATTAAAATTAAAAACAAATAAAAACTTTTAGGTACAGAAAATAATCCCAGTGCATGAATTTGTCTTTAAAAAAAAAAAAAAAAACAAAAACCAAAAAACATAAAAAAACATGTTGTAGAAATGCAATCACTGGTTTCAACAAACACATATAAAATACTTTAGGAAAAAAATACTCACGTTTAAGTATATTTCTTCTTTCTAGCTCCTCAACAGCAGGTCTTTGGCTGAGTCGCCTGCGGAAAAACACCAAAATCACATTTTGTACCATGCTTGTTCTTTGGAAAGTCTGCAGTATTCTGAGTTCTGGTTGGTGTTTTCCTTAGGGAGGGGACTACAGAATCCCCTCTCCAGGACCAATGAAGGAAAAAAATACAACAATCCTGTCACCAGAATATTTTCTTCTTATATTTTTCCCAAATGTCAGCAATGCAGGTAGAAGTTCTCCTCTAGTTTGCTCTGCTGTCAGTGAAACACTTCCTCAGAATGTGCATCCTTTTCACCATACTTTCCAGACAGTCTGTTGGAACCAGTGCTCTCCAATGGTTAAATTCACTCTTGAAGGGGTATTTAAGGTAGTTATCAAATGAGTTTCACAGTGATATTCTGTAGCTATCACTGTCTCTACCTTTTAATCTCATGTAGCAGCAGGCTTCCTTTTTTCTAGTAACACCAGTGGTGCATCCTGACAAAATGCAGACTTGCCAGAAATAAAGCTTTCCTGTGGTTTCCCGACTACACATCTAACAGACCAATCCAGCAGCTCTCCTCCTGCCTGCTAAATACAATTCGTGTGCTGCTCACAGCCTCATGCTGTCTGAACGGAGTGTCTTATGCAGTTTCACCTCCCCTTTTCAGTAGTGCTGCTTCAGGATTGAGTCTTCAAATCATATGATCAGTGCCATAGCGATTTTATTCTGCATAGTAAATGAGACTTCCCCACGAGACACTGCTAATATCTGCAGAGAATCTCAGGTAATTGAACCTCTTCTCTAGGCAGACACACACACATACTGCATTTTCTAGCTTTCAAGTAATAATCCAGCAAGCAGATCGGAAAGAGTTTTATGATGCTTTCTCGCCTGCATTCTGGCAATGTTAAGGATTCTCATAGTCTCCTCTCCAGCAGATGTTGCCAAGCCAGAGATGAAGTTACAGAGACAAAGAAATACTCAGACCAAGGACCACACTACAAACCATTGCTGCAATAGGTATCCCTCGACTGTGTATAGGAACTAAAGGAATGAATATAAAGTGATGCTATAGCAAGATCTATGTTTTAGCAAATATACAAGAGATGAAAAAAATGAAGTAACAACAGTCTGTAAACGAACCAGTAAAAGTACCTGATTCTAATTTCTCCTTATTTTGTAAAACTTACCAAATATACCTTCAAAATCAACTCTGTATTCATATGTTACCAGACCAACAGCTCAAAATATGACTGCAACTCCTTATCCTTTTTTAATTAGTTTCCCTGAGATCACTGGGAAAGCTCTCACCTTTGGCAACAGGAAGGTATCACAACTACTATACCAGATTCACACCAACAGAAAACTTAAGAGGATGAGCTATTGTGCTTAGGAAACACCTACAGCCTAACTCTCATTCTTCCTACCTAACATTTTGTATCACCTAAGGTTTTTCTCCTGGTCTCTGGATTTCTTTTTGGAGTAATGAATCGGATACTCCGGCAGTGGAAGTTGCAATAATCCAAACTGAAACAGGAATGATGTTGAAATGCCCTACTAAAGGCTTTAAACATGTATTTTTAATTCCTGTTATCCTTGGGCTCCTCCCTCCTCAGTCGTACCCCCGTATGTCTCAGAAATGACATAACTCTAGCTAGGTTTTGTTTGAAAGAGATTAATGTGCATTTTATAATATAAATCAGAAAAGAATGACTTACTTGGAGAGCTTATCTGCAAACGAAAGGTCCAACTGACCTGCTGCTCACATGCCTCTCAAGCCATTTTTAACTACAGCCCTTCCATGTGAGATTTATAGATTCTCCCAGAATCTGTACATTAGATTTCAGAGGCCTCTTTTAAACTGGGGGATTAAAAGCCTAACAGAAATGATTAAAGCAGTGTGAGGATTCATATGTATACAAATGCTCTGCGTATATATATATATATTTATGTATGATGGTTAACTATTTAAAACCCTGTTTCCCTTTTGTCTTTGATAAACGCATGGTAGGTGCCCAGAAACAAGAACATATTTCTATGCACACCCTCAGCTTTTCCCACAACAGAAGGAAAAGGTGCAGCTATACACAGGCATATATATACGAGAGAGCATTGCATTTTTTTGCCTGAGTTTTTCAGAGATATGGACCATACTTCCAAGATTTTTGTCATAGTCACAAAACTAGATGTGGACTTTTCTTCAAAATAAAATTCTAACAGGATTTCAGGAAGCTGGGGATAGAGTGAAAACATCAAATACAGCGAGAGTCATGATCAAAGTGAAGTGGCAACACTACTGACGTTGTTGCTACCAAGGTGTAGGGACATTTTGTTTCTATTATTTCTCCTGTTCAGGAGAAGCTTCTCTCTGCCCTGGAATCCCTTTTGTTTGCTTTCTCTGCTGCGAGAGCTGTGCTGCATAGTGGCTGGGCGAAGAGGAAATGGCATGAGTCAGTGAAGGTGAAGGACTCCAGGTGCCTCCTCCAAGGGCTGCTGATGGCAACGAGGGGACGCAGCTGTGAGCCCAGCCTGGCTGCGCGAGTGAGGGCCAGAGAGGGCCACGCAGCTGTGCTGGGCTGCACTGGTGTAAATCAGGATGTGAGAGGCCCTTTCTGTAAGATGGTCTTTTCTGCTGAGTCCGGAGAGGAGCGTGCCTGCTTGCAGAGCGCGCTGCCTTGCCTGATCATCCACCATAGTGAGAAACAGGTTGCTGCTGTGGGTATTGATGGTGCGAGCAGAGCCCACCCTGCCTGAGTTGCTCAGCTGCTTTGGGAGGATGGTGCTTCATCCCCCCCACACGAGAGTCTAAGCAGCCTCAGCCACACTTTGTTTCCTCAGAAGGGGACTCACAGTCCCCCTTGATACTGCCAGCTTCCCTCAAAACTCACCTGCATCCGGACTCAGCACAAGATAAGGTCAAACATAATTCTGAGGGCTCCTGTCAGGTCAAGCAGCTCAGCATAGTGCAGGGGAAACCGCAGGTGACCTCTGACAAGAATGCACATCCCTTCTGAAGAGAGCTATTAAATAAGAAACTGTTTCACATGAGCTTGTGCTCTGATTAGGTGAGTTGTTCTCTGGGCACCACAGGGCTCTGCATGGTCTCCTGAGCAACAAGTGCTCTGCTTTGGATATTTATTTCATATTTTTCTCTGAAGCTGTTAAAATATGAAATCCTGCCTCTGGCAGAACCAGCCACCCCTTGTGTGCTGAGCTCGGTGCATTTCCTCAGGAGGCAGCCATCCAGCCCCACAGAGGCAGCACCATGGCCTCAGAAATGCTGCCACGCCTGAGGGAAACTTGGCCTGGGGAAATGGCGGCCAGCTTGCCCCACACTGCTGCTGGGGAGTGCAGGCCAGGAACCAGGGACTGAGAGACTAAGGCTGTAGAGAGGGGATGCTCAAATCACCTGTGTTTAAAGGAAACAAACTCCAGCTGAATAGTGATTATCAGCAGATTGTATTGCAGCGGGGGAGCTGGTGTGATCCCAGAGGATGAAGCCGGCACCTGCCATGAAGGAACCTTTGTGAAAGCTAAAACCCGAACCCTCAGTGGACTGTGGATGATCTCCACCAGCTTTGCACAGAGAGGATTTTGTATTACAGAGCTGTAGGCCATTTTCAAGTGAAGTAGAGTCCTGGTTCATTTCCTGTGGGTTCAGCAAGGTTCCTGCACCTGAGTGAGGGCAGTTGTAGGGCTCCACCCTGGGCATCGTGTTGCTCTGCAGTTCTGGTTGTGGGAGCCATTTGAAGGTCTGAGGTGTGCATGAGGCTCCAGCAGTGCTGCAACGTGGATGTGGACGTGGCTGGGTGAGTCCTGTGTTTTCTGTTTCTGTTGCTTTTTAGCCTGGGGACTCAGACTCACGTGGGAATCACCTCAGCGAGGTGACTGTATGCACGAACATAGTGCACTGCTTCTGTTGTGTCACAGTAATGGTTTCTTTTCAGCTGATTTAAATTTAGGTGTCTATTTCTTGCTTTTGGAAAAAGCATCCAATTAATGCTGTTGTGGGTTTGGGTGATATTAAAGTCTGGATTTGGGTATTTTTGTACTGTCTGCTGAGGCAAGAGTGCCCTCTGAGAACCTCTGCAGGGCAGCCATTTTTGGAAGGGTCCTGAAACTTTCTTGAAAACTCTCAAGGAACCTGAAGGCAAGTCCTATCTCTGTCTAGATACCCCGTGGTATAAGTGCATGGACTGTCATTGATATTGCCATGGTCTCATCTTAAGAGTATCTGCTCCAGGAATTTGCTTCCCCATTAGCTTAAACCAAGGGGTGCTAGGAGAAAAAGTAAGTGTAGCTGAACTGGCAGCACCTCAGTCAGGGCAACTGCAGCTGCCTCGGGGAAACCAAGCAGAACTGGATGCACCAGTGTCACTTCCCTGTTAATGATGTTCGGATACAATTCATACAGAGTTTGCTGTACATGTGTTAATGATGCAACAAGTTTGGACAGAGACCAAAATCTGAATATTTTCTCATAATGCTAAAGCAGTCACTGTAAATTGGGGCAGGACAGGATAGATGACACATAAAACACTACATGAACAGCTATTTCTTAAGTTCAGAAAAATAACAAAGCTTTTGTGTTAATGTTCTCAGCAAAGTGAGCAAAAACCTTCCAGTACCAGGTGTTCTTCAGTTGTTTGAAGTTTGGGGAGTGTTCTGGAGGTATTTTCAGATTACCTTTAGACTGCTTTCTCCAGTAATTTGGGCTCAGAAAGATAACTGGATAAACTTATATGTTGCCACCTCTCAGAAGCTAAAGACTTTGCCTGCTCCTATGTCCTCTGCAGTGTTACTCCTAAGGGTAAGAGGAGCAGGTCATTGCAGGTTAGCTCAGTCACCTGTGGTTCACCCTGAGAACACCCTGCAGGTATGACCATGTGCATTCTTTTGGTCTCAGAGTGCCTGGTGTGCTGAGAGTCTGCACGTGGCCTCAAGATATTTGTTTTCTCCATGCAGTGTGCACCTGGGAGTCCTGTGACGTTCATGCATACTCCAAGCTGGCTCTGAGAGGGATAATAAATCTGTATGTGTCTGAC